GCTGGTAATTTTGTGATAGTCCAGAACTTTATACCTACCCAATTATAGTGCTGTAATAGGTATGTCGATGGCAAAAATATGTATTCCACCCTTAAATAGAAAATGAAAACATTACTGCACATTACTGACAATATTTTGGTTAAACTTTGGATATTTTTTGTTCCAACCACAGAAATAATATTATTTAATTTTTAGATACTGATTCCAATAAAATTATTTTTATATTCCCAATTTAGTATCGCTATCTTCAATACTCGAAGATCGCGGTATCTTAAAGATATATAGACTTATACACACAAATTAACATTTTTCATTTTGCGTATTGAAAGTAAATATCTTAAAACGTTTACCAATAAGCGAATTTATAACAACCACATACAATCGTGCTCACAGAACTACACCATGCCTGTAGAAAACAACAGGAAGTGCGCACACAGATTGAAAAAAATTATGGATTTGCGGAAACTTTATTTATCCTCTTTGGTGACAGAAAAGAGGGTTGTCTCTACTTTGCCCCAACGACGCCATACCACATGTAATCTCATAATATCACACATCATAGTCTGGTCAATAAAATGAATTTTAGAAAAACAGCTCTTCGTTCCCGTTAAGGAAATCTAGTGGCCAGAAACTGTATTTCTTCGGAGAATGCACTTGCAAGGACGTCGTTATCGACTGTGAGAAGTCGATGACGCGGCTTTTGATAATCCATGTGACCTCGGTGCTCTCATTTCTGAAGTCGATATCCGCTTCGTTCGGCGCTCTTCGCTTTCTTTGTGTAAACACTGTCGGACTCCACGAAGGACGAAGCAGCAAACACAAAACACGAAACTTCAAAGGATAATCCTTTCTCGGGTAGACAAGCAGAGGGCGCTTCATTGTGGAAAAATCGAAGCCATTTGGACAAAAATTTGAAAATATTCTTGATGATTTTGTAAAGTATACCTCAATATTAAAACATCGGTATCAAATTCACGAGTCCGCGATGTCTGTCACAACGATTGGGAATATCAATTTTGGTGAAAATTGTTTACGTTTTAGCAGCTAGCGTTGTTCGCAGACGGACAGACGCGTTGCCATCGACCAATTTTCGGTTTCGAGGATCCATAAAATGAAGATTTGAGTAAAGAACGTGTTAGAGGAAATTATTTGCTGCATATAGGAACAGGAATTTTCCACCATTTCGTTGTCGGGGATTTGCAATACGAATTTTTCTGTCGAAAAATCGCCATTTATAACTTTCTGTATTCTACATATTAATGGGTGAAAACCCAAACGGTATAAATGACATTTTATAAATTCTGAGAAAAACGTGTTTATTTTAAACTATATTTTCGTGTCAGTGTTTTTTCGTGGTTTTAATGAGCAATTGAAATGCCGTATATTTAATGAAGAAACAAAGCACGAATGTATAGTAACAATGACCTAAACATACAGATTTCTCTGAATTTATAAAGTATCACTTGCACCGTTGTGATTTTCACCCATTCATATGTAATGTGCGAGAAAGTAACAATGGCTCGTATTCCTAGTGTGCTGGTAGTTCATCATCGTTGGGTTGAAGCGTTGAGGTGAACGTGCAGACTCTGCTCCTCAATTGAAGCTTCATAAACTCGGTGGTCCGAGGGTCGAGTCCCGACTGTGACGGGTTTCGCCATCAGGTAACCTGCTGTTTGGATGGCTGCCATTTTCTGAGCGGGAATTTTATTTATTTTAATTTATTTATTTAACGTCAAATATTGTTGCAAACTGTTTCAAACTATGGGGGAAGTGTATTCCGTACACGTTTTTTTAAAAAATTTATTTCTGGGATCCCTGCCCCAAATCATATTCAAGTTGAATTATGAATACAGGTGTCAAATGCAAACGAGTCTTTTTTGGCTCACATTGATGAGAAAATATTAGCTCCCGTGTAATACAAACGATTTACAAATGAAATAGGCTACAGATTATGGCTATTATCTCTCATCGTGCCATTCGTAAAGGAATTGTGGGAGAACACGGAGGGAGTTCATTTGAATGACGATATCACTCGCTGTAGAGCCCCCCTGCTGCTCGGTGGCATATCTTGCTCGGTTCGAGGCAGCGCCAGAGCAGATCCTCGACACGGCCTGCCTGGCCCGCCCTCGCGAGCGGCGGTGGTGAGGACCGACTGAGGGCGGGGCGGAGGCCTCGTAAAGCTGCCCTCCGCCCTCCACACAAAAGAACAAGGGCGGGGAAGGACCCTTACGAATCTATCAGAGAATTGGTTTATGCGCCCTTAAAGCTCCTCGGAATGTCGCGCGTGGGTGGCCCTTCGTCCAATGGCCGCCGTAATGGAAACGTCCCTTCGTGCCACTTCCCGTGTGGAGGGGTGGCGTTTTGGGCTATCAACGTTGGGGCTCACGTGCAGGGGCGAGATGCCTTTACATAGGAAGCAAAGTGTTTGCTACTTACAACCTGGCTTGTGATACTGACGACCTTAAAAACTTTAAAAATGATCTATAAAATTATTTAATACCAAGAGGAAAACGCCTTAAAAATAAGGGGAAAATGACCTAATTTTAATAGTAATTGCAAATACGATAATGCGTTTGAGCGTTTCTGAAAATCCGTAATTTTGAGCTCATTTTTTCAGTAAAGGCATTTGTTTTCGAGAAATTTTGTAAGACTTCATTTGAAGTACCTGTGCTCAGAAAGGCACTAATAGGTCTATATACCACCATGTAAATATTAGCGATGTAACAGAAATATAAAAAACATTTGTATAATTTTTAAAATTACAACATATACACCAAAATGGTGTATGTAAAAATGTAGTATGGTAAAATGGTGTGGTGTATCTTACACACTGCATTTATGATTGACGGCCTTTTTGAGAAAATCAGTTTTTGGTTTCAGGGAACCTGAAAACGTGTACTTGCGTTGAAATCTCAAAATACATTTTCCGAACAATTACATAACTCTGTACACTCTGTACCCTGTACTCGGTCTGTACGTGTGTATGCGAGAAAGTAATAAGTATGCAGTCGACTCGGATGAGAGAGAACTTCTGTGGACTAACATCTTTTTTCACTATATCAGAGGTTCACTCTTGGATTGGATGATGTCAAAATTAAATAGACTTTCTCTGCAATGATTAATTTTATTAAAATAGCGATACAATACAGCACCAAATGAAAATTTCAGTATCTTTATTTGACCTTAAAAATCAATTATTTTCAATTATTTGCTTCGTACATTTTTGAATGTCGTTGTCGAGTTTGTGCTCTCTTTATATTTGATTCTGCATTGAGTTATCCCCAAGAACAGTTATCTCTAAGAATTGCTTTTTCCAGCATAAACAACTCGCCCTGTTGTACGACTTATTTTAATTGCCCAGATAACTCTCGTGTTTATCCGAAGAGGCGTCTGTGAAGGGGGAAGTTGGTACTGCCCATTTCGAATCCACGGACGTGGGCGGGTGGACCACTGGACTGCAGAGGGTGCTGGATGGACTCTCTCGCTGTGATCACTCCACGTGGAGTTGTGTTGGCGTCTTGCCACCATAGTTGTATATATAGTATGCTATTATGTTGCTATTGCCAATTGTATGTGTATAGTGTTGTTGTTCGTATATTATGTGTTACCAGCTTTCTGATCGGAATAAAAATATTTCGAAACGATCCAACAGTTTTAGGTTTTAATTCACTCTGACCAAATCCAAATAGTGTACATTTCTCATTTCAACTTCATCTACAATCGTACATTATATGAAGAATACTTCATGGGAGAGAACAAATATTCTCAATGCGCTGCCGAGTTCGTAAAACCGGGCCTAAGTACCCTAGAGCAGTCTTGCATGCCTCTTGCACTGTTGGAACCCCGTCCCACTCTCCGAAGGCCCTTTTACTCGCCTAATGGCATACTAGATGCAATTCATTTCCAGCACGTTGTATTTCCAACGTTCACTATAGCCTAGGTTCAGCGTTCACTATAGTCGAATCTTCTTTTGCTTGTTTGTAATGTAGGTGCAACGGAAGCAGTGTGTTTGAGCTTTGTACGCGTGCGCTCCAACGCGAGTGGAGTGGAGTGGAGTGCCTGCAGTGTGCTGCGTGTTGCAGATGGCGGGGCCGCCGGTGGAGGTGCGGGAAGCGGGGAGGGCGCTGCAGGTGCGCTCTGACGCGCCGCACCTCGTCAGCCTGGGCGGCGGCCGCCTCAGCACCGCAGTCACGCTGCACCCGCTGCCCGCAGGTGAGCGCCTCGTCGGCGTGCGAGCACTTCCCACCGGGTCCGCCCCCCAGCCGGGACAAGCTCCAAGCTCCCGCCCGCTCTCCCGGCATGCGTGGGAGTGGAGTGCATGTTAGAGTACGTGTGAGGCGGGGATAGGGCAAGGAAGCGGGAGGAAGGATAGATCGCGCGCGGTCCGTGGCCCGCCTTTTAGGGCACTGCTCCGGCATTCGCCTGGTGTTGATCGGAGAAACCAAGCAAAACTACCAATCAGAGCAGCCGGCCGCTATAGTTCTCCTCCAGATAGCGGCTGAATTCGAACTATTTATGTAGCTCTTGTCGAAAATCCTGCCTCGGGATTCAAATCCTAGGACCTCTTGGTCGCATCGCGGAGTTATCAGTTAATGCCCTGAACCCCCTCAACCGGTAACAAGTTGAAGTTTCACATTACCTGGCATAGTAAACGCAACTTCGATTTTTGACAAGACATATTCTATCGCATTCAAGAAGATTTCGTCAAGGTACGATCATTTGCCACCCAATCATGGCAGATCCCACATGTGTAATTTCGTTATATAAAATATCCCACTATTTGTTCATTGCCAAAGGCGATTATTTTCGAACATATTGTGAGACAGCTCTATTCACATATTAGCCCCTAGAAGTTCGTAACATCCTGTACTCGTAAGACATGTAAGTTCAAGTGAATAGGAAATATATTGAATAAAAAAATTAACAAACGAAAATGGTTCACTAATCAGAAAGATATTGTAATATGTTCAATCATACCGATCTTTGTTTTTCAAAATCAGAATCTACATCAGTAGACACCTCACAAACTGAACACAGGCACATAAGACGGCCTTTTTACGAGTATAAACATTAGCAGAAGGCGAGTCTGTGGCAAATGCCCCCCTCGCTTAGTAGAGGCGGCTCCGATGCACGATCTCGGGAACCCCCTCTACGTCATGATTTTTTCTAATTGCACTAATCGTACCCAAAACAGCACTCGCATAAATCTATAAATGAACACGTTTTTAAAATTTGAAGCTAACGATTAAAGTTTTATATTAAAAAATAGTGGACCCAGCAATGCTTCGCTATAGCAATGTAATTCACTTCACACGCTACTGTCATCGTGATTGTCAATCACGTTTTACGCTGTGCGAAAATTCTAATAAATGAAAGAGTTTCTCGCGAGAATGTGTTTGTTTTACGCCCTTGTTTGATCATGGGTGTGAAGTATCATATTGATGAAACTTCTAAGCATTCATCAGCAAACCAACACATATGCGCGATATTTGTCGACTGGGATCAGTAATGTCAATCATCGATAATCAAATATCTTTGAAACAAAAGTGTGCTTGTGTAATATATTACTAATTTCCAATCCGCACAGAAATTGAAAGAAAATAATATAGCCTCCGGCTATGTGAGAGGTTTATACGGGGAACTCGAAAGGAATACAAAAGGAATGATATTTTTAATTAAAATGCAAATGTTTAATTTTGTTATTCTTCCTGTTCTTAAACCGTGCACACTGACTAAATTGATATATTCAGATCCTTAGTGCTTACAACATAGCTGTCATGAGACAGCAAGACTCAAAGGTAGAAGCCAGTCCGTATTAAGTATTTGCTATTCACGTGTTACGTTATGGAAAAGCTGCGTTTGTGTTACTCTTAGAAAAATTGTTTTATTGTATATGTACTATACTATGTTATTGCAAAATTCTTGAAGTCTTTCTCTGAGTAATTAACTTATTGCAGTGTTATATGAGATAATTTTGTTGTTTTTTTACAGTGTGCGTGCTACTTATTGCATTACTATTTTGTATTATTTTGTTCAGCAGCAATTTTGCTGATATTACTTTTATATTAATTGTAATAAAATTACATTAATATATTATAATAATAATAATTTTTTGGCGTTTTAAGGTTTGCTTAATCCAACTTTTGCCAACTAGCGGTGTTTCCAGGCCTGTTTTATTTATTATCCACGCCCTGGAGTAGGGGAGACGTGGGGCAAGAATGGCATATTCTGCCTACATGAGCTTTCTTTTGTCACACAGCTACAGAAACCGAGACGTTTGTATCTGAAAGCTAAAGCACACTTTTTGCTCCGACTGAGACACGAACCAGGAATCGCACAGGGAGAGGTAGCCTGCTGTCCATGAGCGACCCTAAGGGCATTACTATAACAGTTGGTGCTACGATTATAATAAAATATTAATGACGTATTAAAGGTTATAGTTGTGCCACCCTCCACCACATGAACTTAAATGTGAAGTATTTAACTTCATTTGATATAACATTCTTAGATGAATGACTAAATTCGTTTCCGAGAACAAAGTCTTTCTGAAAGGTAATAATCGTAAGTTAATTTAATGCATCAATTATGTTAATTTATTATTTTTTAATTAATGATAATGAATTATTACAATTTATTTGCTTTTTATGTTTATGGAGTAAATAGTGTTATCTCCTTACAGTTAAGTATAAAATTACCGACCAATCTCAAGAATCCGTTATGTAAAAGTGAATCTACAATGATAAATATTGATATTCATCTTTTCTTTACTTTACCTTACTATCGCAACATATATGTTGAAGACAAAAAGTATTAGTTTGAGACTTCAGCGTACAACTTTCTTTCTTTCTTTCTTTCTTTCTTTCTTTCTTTCTTTCTTTCTTTCTTTCTTTCTTTCTTTCTTTTTTTAGAGTTCGCCCGAATAAATCTGACAAATGGCGTCGAAAAGTTCACCGGCTTTCAGCTACACCTGCTACCAAGAGGGTTACGCGTAGAGCGAAGGGGGGTGTTTTTTTCGTTAAGTCGAGATGTGGCACCAAAATAAAATATTATGTTCACGAAAATGTCAACTCTCTCCCCCCACAACTCATCTCACATCTGTCACAAATGCCAGAAATTATGAGTCACTTTCTGCCTTTATTTTTTTGATATGGCTTTGAAAAAGGTACAACTTTTTATGTCTGTGATATTGACTTCGTTGTACTTGGTGTCATAAACTTTTTGAGTATTGTATCCTAAATTAATTCGTATCTTTACATTTAAAATCCTGAAGGTTTTCTGGGTGTTCACTTACAAAAGAATTTATTGTTTTACTCAACCACATTTTTTACTTTAAACAAAACGTTTTGGACTGCTGATATGTTATCACTTGCTGTTATCAACAGATTTTCTAATAATAGGCAAAACATTTTATTATTGTCTTAACTTTAATGAAATGGTCGTTTATCTACCGTCAGTTGCGATGATTTAGATCAGACTTATAAACTCTACTCTTGTTGCACCGCTCAATAAAATTCCAAAGAGTAGTGGTAGACCGTAGTATTAGTTTCCAGAATGGAATGACTGCCGATTAATAATTTAACGATTGGCAGCCCCCTCCCCCTCCGGCCCTGCGATGCGCGATCAGTGAGGCGCTGATTTGTCGGAAGCCCTTGCGACTGGGCGACGGCAGGACGCGTGCTGGCTTAGCAGCGCCACTGTCGATGCCACTACGATCGTCTTTTTTTCCGTCTAATGCCTTGCATAATTCACAAAAAGGCACCTAACATTTATGCTACAATGTACCACATAAATGAAAACAATCATTGCCAACTTAATAAATAAATGTATTAAAATAAAATAGCAACTAAATTTGAGGAATAATTCAAGCAGAACAATTAGAAATTTTCCAAAATATGGTAGTTATTAAGAAAACGGACATAACATGCATGATATTGTGACGTCATGGATACTCACAGCGACCACAGACACAGAGCTTTCGTATAACAAATATATTTATTAACAAGAAAACAAAACAAATATATACACTTAATAATCACTGTAAACCCTAGCTCTGATAGACCTACTATCCCCTGATCGCGGGAGCGATCCAAAACCCGATTGAAGATGGTTTTGATTGTGGCATTCGCCACTCCTACTTTTGAAGCGCGCACAAAGCCTAGCTTCCGTGACCGGATGTCACGCTGGGACACAAAGTCCGTTCTGGCGCACCAACGGCTGGTTTGCCTCGATCGCAGGAGCGATCTTATCCGATTGAGAATCGGCGTGAATCGTGGCACTCAACCACTCTTCACCTCGGAGCACGCACACAGCATCGCTCCCCCGTGACCACAGTCACCCAAGGACATAAAGTCCGCAGGCTTCGTCAACTAATGACTCCAGCCTCGCGAGCCTGGCTCGCATATGCACCGTCGTGGCGCCAAGTTTTGTGCACACGCACGAGGTTCTCCCACTGTCTCCAGAACCTGCCTACTGGCTCCGTACACTCTGTTATATAGGCGAGGCCCACGTGACCTCCTACGTCACGCCACCCCCTCGCTTGTTATAACAGTGAAAAGCTTCTATAAGCCGGAAGACACCCAAAGCCTTGTGTCTCCCGTCTCCGCGTTCTTCCCTTTACGGAAAAACCCTTCTTCCTGTGGCGAGACTAATCCGCAACCAAGCGTCCCCAAATGGATGCCATGAGGCACGCTGGCTAATACGTTACAATATACCATATGCTTTTAAGCTAAGATAGTATGCATTCTTGCAATTGTTCTTACTGGTCCATATGTTGGTTAATGTACATCATTTCAATTACATTTTTCGACCATTGCTTAAATCAACGTGAATAATGATTGTATTATTCCTGCTTTTTAAACCTCCCCCTTTTCATTAGACTTGTAGAATAAGTGCTGAACGACATGAGACAAGGTGAAGTTGAAGTTTTCGATTTTTCGTGAAATGCTTTTGTTACTGTTTTTGCTCTTCTTCCTTTCGTGCTATGTTATGAAAAGGATTCAGATAGTTTTAATTATGTGTATTAGGCTAACGCCATACTCTACTATAAACGCGGATATATTTTTATTAATTATACTGAAAAAAAATCGTATGAATTAATCACTGAATGTGTGTGTGGTGATGGCACAGCCTATTACATTGCGCTGAAATTGCGTTTTCGTAACGCTGAGAAGAGTCGGCTTGCGTCAGTGACGTCTCCCCACCCACAACTCCATTTGGGCGAGCTGCTCCATAGTCCTTAATGAGAAATTCAACGAGGTAACGGAACTTCGAGTTTTTCGATTACTTTGTTGCTGATCGATAGAACGTTATTTCCCTACGCCGCCGCCAGTTGTAGTGTGTAGCTGATCACAAGAGAACTTTATCTAGAGTTGAAAAAAAAAGTACTTCGCTGGCCTAACTTATGTAAATTGTTATTGTGGTGTCCAGGCACTACAACAGAAAGTTAGCAGGACCTGGTCTGCACAGTCCAAAACAAGATGAAGCAATTACTTCTATGGGCTCCCTTTTGTAATAAACAGAGGAAATCAAGGATTGATAATAATTACTGAAATAAAATGTTTATTCTCGAAAGACTATGAGGCCCTTTTCAAAATTTTGTGGGAACCACAGCTTGTGTGCGATCCTGTTTTAGCCTGTGGAGGCCATCCAGTGACGTAATATATAAGTGTAAGGAAATTATCTAACACAAGAATAGTACTGAACAGTATGAGAGGGATATTAGTTTGCTGATTTTGTTACTACTACACTTGTTATTGCATTTGCGATACAATATATCTCGTACTTATTTAAAGAACACCGTTACTTCGTTACTAGGCATTACAGGTAATGGTTCAAAGTTTTCTGTTTATCGAATACGGAAAATGTCAGGCGTCCCCGCGGTGGAAACTAGTCGCTTAGTTCCTCCGGCGCACCGATGTTTGCTCCTACTGCGCAGCACCAGTCTGCGTCACGAACCACGTGACCGCAGCACGGCACTCGCTTGAAAAGCCAGATCAGACGCTGCTCGCCGTGTTGCAAGGAGAGCGAGAGGTATTGAGAAACATTTTGAAAGCGGTACAAAGAGACAATTTTCAACGGAAACCGACCAAAAATAACACGGTGAAGGTGTACAACATGCAATATTTAAAATATGTGCTTCATAAATATGTTTCAATACCTTGTAACGATGTGATAATTTTGGTATCTGGTTACATTTCAAAATTTCTCTAATATTGAGACGAAAACCGGTGCGTGAAGCTCACTATCTGACGTCGCATACGATGCGCAAATCTTACATATCCCTTTCACCTTTGCGTCCCTGCGGCTGAAAATGGACATTCATATTAATTTTTCCTCTCGTCAACAATTCAGTCGGAATTTGGCAGCTGGTGAGAAAAATGTGTTTCGGTTGTCAGAAAGCGTCACTTTCCTATGTAATCGCTAAGAGTTTCACGTCCTTGCCTCTTTCGCCAGAATTGCAATTAAATTGAAATTGATTGCACTTTCAGCTAACAGCAGTTAATTAAAATTTAAATTAAAAATTACGTGTTTTAATTAACAAATATTGAATGTAATTCATTCCATATTCATGTTACTGTTATAATGAAATCGTAGATCGTTTGAAACATATACCTAAAGTAAATTCAGTTTGCAACTATTTTCAATCTGAGTACTTCAGTTTCTACTGCATGTCTGTATTATGTAGTGCAAGTTTGTAAAACCAGCCGTTACCGCCCATTTAACATGTTACTTTCTCGTACAGGAAGAGCATTGTAATACTGCGACGGAAATAAGATTTGGCGACAAGAAAATCGTATTGTGAAGCCCTGGTATCGAAAAAAGGTATATCTTGCTCTTATATGTAATAAATTATTTCTTGTAACTCGTGCTCACAGTATATGAGTCCTTGATACCGAAACCTCGATTGACGGCAAAATGTTTGTCTATCTGTTCGCCTCTCTGTGGTCAACGCTAGTGTCTAAATCGTTGAGACGATTTGCTCCAAAATCTGTATTCCTCCATGCATCTGAAAGAGCTTCTCGAGCTCTGCAAGTTTGGAAGGAATATTTTGATTTTTGGTGGTGACTGCGTAGGCTTTCGCTGACCGCGAGACGCCGCGACCTAAGCACAACGTTTGCCGTACTGCGCCCTGCCTCAGGGCGAAATGCGTTAACGTGGAATGCCCACTGGTTTATAAAGAGGGAGTGTCCCCTCTTAACCTGGACTGGAGTTGATCGGAGAAAACGACCAATCAGGGCAGCTGGCAAGCTAGAGTGGAAAACCCTGCGTCCGTCGTGAGTGGAAACGCAGGCCCCGTCGACAGAGGCGCTGCAGCGACGTCAGTTGAAGGCCGAGGCGTCCATTGCCTCTCCCCTTAAGGCACCTGCGTCCGCCGGATGAGGTGGGAGGGAGCCCCAGCACTTTCCGATTTGGAGCAGCCTGCTCGGGAACCTTCAACCAGCGCACCCAGAGAGTACCTTTCCCACTTTGTGAAAACCTTCATTGGAAACAGATACCGCAATGTTTGAACTATTTTTCGACAGTCACCACACGAATTGAGACACTTGTTATATCGTGCTATCAACTTTTGTATGCCTGTCTTGAAGTGTGCTGCCTGCTACTACAGCCAGCGTGAACCAGTCGTCTTTAGCTCTTCGACGTTGCGAAAACGCTGACGGGATTACAGGAATTTCGTCAGGTGCAAGAAAAGATAAAATCGCTGTGTAAGAGCTCATGACTCTACGGGGAATGATCAAACAGGTCTCAGCCAAACTTCTGCTGAGCGGTTGCTGTTTGCCGTGTACGAGCATTGTCATGGAGCAGCACAGTAACCATGCCAGTAAGAGCCTGTTAACACGTGCAGTAACCGTGCTGGCGAATGCTGGCGAGAAAGCTGGCGATGAATTTCTATCGACGAGATGTGTTGTGCATTAAGGAACCATTTCGGGCCACTGCTGCCGCGCTACTAGCACTCGGCGGGACCTATCCGGTCGGCACGCGATTGAAACGTCGTAGAGCAGTTATGCACGCACAATTTTGACGCCTAAATGCATGTACTTTCAAAGCAAAAAAAATTGGGAAATCTGCTTTCTGGATGCGCCACGTATTTCGCTGCCCTGTCCAAAATCCTCCGTGGGGTTTCGAACCTTTGATAACCAGAGATTCAGTCGCGGACTTGCAACACTAGTACATGCGGTTTCGTCAACTTTTTTAACTTCATCAAAACACCGGGTTTCTATCGACCGACATAACTGTGGACAGAAAATTGTTCTGACGTGTTTTTTTTTTCTAACGACAAGAACAAGTAATATAAAGGCTAACGGAGTAAAACTCAGGCAGTATAAAGTCTTAGAATTTTGTTCCTCTAGTCAACATCTTGAATATTCATCCTATTTAGATTGCTCGGAAGCACAGTAATCGTTCATGAAACACACAATCTGACATTACCACATTTCGATGCCGTGTAAAATAGCAATATAGACCGAATGATTTTGTTACAGAACGGTATTGAACATAGTTTCATTTATTTCTTAATTTTTTACCATTTTTGTGAATTGTGCCTCATTTTGTCGATTACAGCACGAAAGTACTATGAAAACATTAGTAGTCGTTTGCAGTGTAGCTGTAGTTCTCATTATTATACTTCAAAATTTTGTGTAAGATACACCAAAACTTCTAGTTTTCGGAATTAATGTAAATTGATATCTGATCGCAATTTTCGTTTGCTTTTTGTGTGTTTTAAGTTTTTTCATCTATCTCGTTGTGATTATTGTCTTAAAAAATGGGCAAAGTAGTAGTTGTTAAACTTAATAAAATACTTAAAAAATACGATTTTAAATATTTCTCCGATACGAAATACGTGGCTCAGACATTTTACTGCCTCCACTAGCTCGGACATTAATTAATGTATTACTGTACACGACTATAATACCTTAGAATATATTTCGTCTTCAAGATATTCCTGCCACAATAAGAAAATAATACTTTATTAAACGTTTTACTGCTTTATGTAGTTAACATCTCGAAATGTTTAATTATTTAATTATTAAAACCGTTTTATTTTCGTTTGTAGGTGGCCTTGCTTATATTCTTGAAGTTACGCTAATTAAGTTTAGCAAATATGTAGTATGCAAAATGTAAAACTACATATATTAATTCGTGATATATTATCATTCTCGTTTTTATTTTGTGTACTTTTGAATATTTGAGCCACACTCAATTTTCACGATAATGACAATTTATCGTAATATCATTCTGTCACATAGAAGTATTGCTTCGTTTGATAGAATCTGCGCAAATATTCGCAAGTGGACTCTTTATTTTGTCTTACTGCACATATTTCCTTTAGGTTTTATTAATTATCATATTGTTCTATGCTTTATCTTAAAACTGTGGAATTAAAAAAAGTAGTTGGTACTTACCTGGATATTTGCAGATACTATATTGCGAAGGTATTAATATAATGTAGAGAATCGTGAGGGTAGGTCAATAAAAAGTTATATTACATTATATTTAAAATGCAAGATCAAGATCAACAGAAAGCCTTATTGCGAAGGTATCAGAAACGAGGCTTAAATACTTACAATTGCATATATTATTTGTGCGGTAGAAATTATAATTATTACAGAAATTAGAATAATGAACATGAGGAGTAAATAAATCCACGTTCGAATTACTCAAATGCGTTCTTAGGCAACACAAATATGAAATCACATAACAATGGAGACATTCTCGCTTTTTCGATTCGTGTTGTTCTGATACCCTGGAAACGTATACTATTTCTCATGGCCATCTCGCTTCGACAGCCGCGTGCAGGATCCAATTTTTATATTTTTTATTCGTAGCACCTCTTCATGTCGTATGTCGGTCGTGAGGCATTCTCAAAATTAACTGATCACTCGGGATAACATCCTGACGGTGTGTTTCGGGGCGTTAGGTTGTTAGTTTTTTTCCTGTTCGTCCGCGGCTGTAGTCTAACTTCAACAAAATGCGTGAGTGCATTTCTATCCACGTTGGTCAAGGCGGCTGTCAAATTGGCAATGCATGTTGGGAATTGTATTGCCTGGAACACGGCATTCAACCAGATGGGCAAATGCCATCAGACAAATGTTTGGGTGGCGGCGACGACTCGTTCAACACATTCTTCAGTGAAACGGGAGCTGGAAAACATGTTCCTCGGGCAGTTTTTATAGACTTGGAACCAACAGTTGTGGATGAAGTTCGGACAGGCACATACCGGCAATTATTCCATCCCGAGCAACTAATCACTGGAAAGGAAGATGCAGCAAATAACTACGCACGTGGCCACTACACTATAGGTAAGGAAATTGTGGACTTAGTTCTGGACCGCATCCGCAAGCTTGCTGACCAATGCACCGGACTTCAAGGCTTCCTCATCTTCCATTCTTTTGGTGGTGGCACTGGTTCTGGTTTCGCGTCACTGCTCATGGAACGGCTGTCTGTGGACTACGGTAAGAAGAGTAAGCTCGAATTTGCCATATATCCAGCGCCTCAGATCTCCACTGCTGTTGTTGAGCCTTACAATGCCGTATTATGCACACACACAACCTTAGAGCACTCAGACTGCGCCTTCATGGTAGACAACGAAGCTATTTATGACATTTGCCGCCGCAATTTGGACATCGAACGCCCCACCTACACCAACCTGAATCGACTGATTGCCCAGATCGTGTCTTCTATCACTGCTTCCCTTCGTTTTGACGGCGCTCTTAACGTAGACCTGACGGAATTTCAGACCAACTTGGTGCCGTACCCTCGTATTCACTTCCCGTTGGCCACATACGCACCCGTTATTTCTGCTGAGAAAGCGTACCACGAACAACTCTCAGTAGCTGAGATCACCAACGCCTGCTTTGAGCCTGCCAACCAGATGGTGAAATGTGATCCTCGTCATGGCAAGTACATGGCGTGTTGTATGCTGTACCGTGGTGATGTAGTCCCGAAGGATGTAAATGCGTCCATTGCTACCATCAAGACGAAGCGCACCATCCAGTTCGTGGACTGGTGCCCTACTGGTTTCAAGGTAGGAATCAACTACCAGCCACCTACAGTTGTCCCTGGTGGTGATCTGGCCAAAGTTCAGCGAGCCGTCTGCATGTTGGCGAACACAACCGCAATTGCAGAGGCGTGGGCACGATTGGATCATAAATTCGATTTGATGTATGCCAAGCGTGCTTTCGTACATTGGTATGTGGGAGAGGGCATGGAGGAAGGAGAGTTCTCCGAGGCCCGGAAGGACTACGAGGAAGTTGGCATGGACTCCGTGGAAGGGGAGGGTGAAGGAGCAGAAGAATACTAAAAGAAGAAGAAGAAAAACAAATTAATTTTTTCTCATTTGTGTTATTCCCGGCAAGTCATAAGTCTGATATTCCATTCTAAAGTCCTTTCCATTTTATATTTTTTATATTTTTATACATTTTTACTGTCGATTTGTAAAAAAATAACTAAAATGAAAAAGAATGTGTGCGATAAATAAATGGATCTGCACGAAATTTCCTTTCTTTTATTCTCAGTGGATTTTTTATATATGTTGTTACAGCTTCACGTGCGAGTACACTTAATTGTAGTAGTCGTGTATGGAAATCTCCCACAATTTATTTAGCAACAAATTACTCTCCGTCATCATTAATTCTGTTTAAGTTGATACAGGTGTCTTAAGGAGATTTGTGGACGTGTTAGAAAATATTTTTTCCAGAGCAGATTTTTGTTTTTGTTTTTGATTGAAATGAACATTGCACTAATCTTATAAGTTGTTTCATATTAATGCTTTATGTTAAAAATGAATTCATAATTTTCTAGTATAGAAATTACCTCAAATTTGAAAAGCACATGTCATTTCATTGAAATATTTTTACAGAGACAATGCATATTCTGCATTCCCTTATTGTCCAAATAGATAAAATAAAATGTGTAATAAGCAGTATTTTGATCTCACAATTCAGTTTACGCTTTACTTTCGACAGAAGTCTTTTAATTTAGCTTTTCATAACACTAAAGTAGGTAAGTAGCACACAGAATATAAACTTCTCCTCATCTAAATGTTGTTCTTATTTAATGTTTATTTCATATTAGTAAGGGAGCCTCTCCCAGAAAGGGTAGTGGAGCTAATGAACGCAAATATTTTTGTCAGTTCAATACATTTCGATCTACAAGTCACAGTTACTGGTTAACGAAAATAAGGTTTTTATAATACATTTAACTTACAATGCTAACCATATTCTATATCAGTAAATACTAACCAAGAGTAAAATTTACTTATATATTTTTTCAGCTTTAACATCTAAGGAAAATATTTCCTTAATTGCCATTCTGATTACGCTTTATTGTTTGTAAATAAAGTGAGCAGAAAATATTTTGAGAAATAAGATTTAGGGATCATTTTATGCCCGATTACGATATTTGTGAAATCCATATTTACATAGATTACGGAATAACACTCCAAACGTAGGTACTTAGAGTACACAAAATGAAGTAATCTAAGGCAATTCCTACAACGAAATATAAATAAATATAAATATAAGCAAGTTTCTTTTATGTTCACCTCAAAGATACTTCTTTCAAAGACAAAAGTATTACATTACGTTATTCACACAAAGTGCGGTACTTTCCTTGAGCATTTTCGAGACGAGTCTAGTGAGATATCTTTGGTGTCAAGAAAATAGTTAATTGAGTAATTGATTTCAAATGAGTAATTTTACCTAACCTTGGGAGAAGAAATTATTTTCAGACGCAAAGAATCAGTTAATGTCGTGCCATATGTCCGATGTTTCTATTGGTCCTTTAGTTTGTTTGTACATTACGATTATATCACGTTTCTTGGAAAATTGTTCAAAAGAAACTTCATTATTGTGTTCATTATTCATTTCTATGTTTATTATGAGTACAGAAAAAACTTTTGTTGGTTCGTGGTTTAAAAATACGGATGTGCCACGGACTCCCGCTGATGCCTTTGACCTGACATCACTGATGTAATGCCACATCAATAGAGTGCGGAGGGATATGTGGCATAAGGGCTAGCACACGTGTCGCTACTGCTGGACCAGGATTGGACAAATAAGTAAATGAATCGAAGATACATATTTACATACAAGATCTCCTGTGCATTGGTGAACCTTACAACCTCTCGGTTTGCTCTGTGATGTCATCAATCCTCTACGACTTAGGCCACTCATTCCTCCTCTTGTCTTACATTCTACCGAGCGTCGTATTGAATTGCAGAGCAAGAAGTTCTGTCCGCTCTCTATTACACTCTTCACACTGATGAGGCGAGCCGCCATTACAACACCGTACCGCGCAAACGACTCCCAAGGCGAGCAGCGTGCAACGACGCGAACACGCGCTGCCCGGCGGAGCCGGAGGAGAAGCGAAGCTCAGATGGAGGCACACGCGATGCAGCAAGATCCCATCGGATGATGTCGCGTTCCAGAGGCCCGCCGCCGCTGTTGCGGCCGCCCCCGCCGGGTCACCTGTCCACGGAGCGATGGGCTAAGAGGCTGGAGCTCTGAAGCTCGACTCCCGTACATCTCCTCACCTGATATGTCCCATCCTCCTCTCTCTTTAATTAATAATAAAAAGGTGCTTTAGCAGCCATCTCCTTCCCTTCAATCGTTACAGTTACTAAATCAATCAAAGTATTCGAAGCGAAGCGGCGCCTAAGGAATGCGCCGAAATTCGTCAGCTCCGGGGGCGGCACGACACTCTGACGCAGAATGCTAGGAGGAGACCTTGGGCACTGCAACCTCTCCAGGCGGGACATTTTACGACACAGGTTTTGAACTGTCTCAACTGTCGTGTTGTGTTTTGGAGAAATACTGCAACATGTGACGTGGTTGAAGGCATCGCCCGATGTCGCTGCAGCGCCTCTGCCCGGAAGGTCCTACAGTTCCATTCCCAACGACGGCAGAATTTTCGCCACTAGATACACAGCCAGGTCGAATTCAACCGCTGTCTGGAGGCAAATTCTAGAGACCGGATGCTCTGATCGGTTGTTTTCGTGGTTTCTCCGATCAATACCAGACGAATACATTGTGGGAATTAGTTAGCAATAAAAATCTCTCAGTTACATGAGCTTACAAGCTTACTAAACTACGGGATTTAAAGTACGCGTGTGTTAGCTATTTAAAGTACGCGTGTGCCCAGTTCACGCCCGTTTTGCCAAGGCGATACGTGGCTATTAATTTCAAATTGTGGCAATTAATTTTCAATAAATCATCTGAGTTTTTCCGTCGAGCTACAATTCTCATTTAACTTATGTGCGTGCTAACATTTAGCTCACACTCGTTTTCGCCGCGAAGAAATGCGCGTGTTTCATTCGGGTGTGCCCGGCGCGTTCGTTGCAGGGCGCGTGCTGGTGGGCAGCGGAGCGGCGTGCGAGGTGCGGGTGAGCGGCGCGGGCGTGGCGGCCGAGCACTGCGCCATCGAGACGTCGGCGGCGGGCGTGGTGACGCTGCTGCCGCTTGCCGGCGCCACCTCCGTCGACGGCCTCCCCGCCACGCGCCCCACGCGCCTGGCGCAGGGTGAGCTAGCCTGTTCCCTGCTTTCCGAAGTTCCATAGGTTATGCAGATATTGCAGTTACTAAGGTCTGAAGGCACAGGCTTTCATAACAATGTATGACTTATCAAGAGTTCGCTAGGTTCGAGCTATGTCAGTTTAAGTTATGGGAGTTCGAGTTATGAGAGTTCGAGTTATGAGAGTTCGAGTTATGAGAGTTCGAGTTATGAGAGTTCGAGTCATGGGAGTTCGAGTTATGCGGGTTCGAATTATGCGGGTTCGAATTATGCGGGTTCGAATTATGCGGGTTCGAATTATAGGACTTCGAGTCACGGGAGTTCGAATTATAGCGATTCGAGTTATCGGAGTTCGCATTATAAGGGGGTTCGAATTATATAGGAGTTCGAATTATAGGAGTTCGTATTATAGGAGTTCGAATTATAAGGGGGTTCGAATTATAAGGGGGTTCGAATTTTAAGGGGGTTCGAATTTTAAGGGGGTTCGAATTTTAAGGGGGTTCGAATTTTAAAGGAGTTCGAATTAGAGGAGTTCGAATTAGAGGAGCTCGAATTAGAGGAGTTCGAATTAGAGGGGTTCGAATTAGAGGGGGTTTCGACTTAGAGGGGGGTTTCGACTTAGAGGGGGGTTTCGACTTAGAGGGGGGTTTCGACTTAGAGGGGGGTTTCGACTTAGAGGGGGTTTCGACTTACAGGAATTTTTAGTAACGGGAGTTCGAGTTAAATGTGCTATAGTGAGCGAGATGTCCGTAAAGTTAGCATATCCACTTATCACAATTTTTAAAAAAAATTTGAATTTGGGTATAATAAAGTATTTCGGGCAAACGTCTGGTACATTTAGTTTTTATGCATCATGCGTTTTGAAAATTTTTGAATTTGGGTATAAATTAGTCATTAATTATAACAAAATTCTGGGATACAGTTTTTCAAAATTGTGGTAAGTGGGTATGCTAACTTTACGGATAGGTGAGCGAGGTTGGATTGGGGGAGAGGTGTGTTGGTTCGCAGCTGCGATGATGCGTGTGTGTTGCAGGGTGCACGCTGGGCGTAGGGCCGAGCACCTTCCTGCGCTTCAACCACCCGGCCGAGGCGCGCCTCATGCGCAGCATCCTGCCCTCCGCCGCCGCCGCGCCGCAGCCGCTGCCAGGTGCGCCCCCCCTCCCTCTCTCCCCGCCTCCCCCTCCGGCCGGGAGGGCCCAGGGTGTCTGCGGCGGCAGCATTTTCTACCTCACCTACAGAGCTAGGTCTTGTTCAGCCGCTGGCGTTAGGAGAATTTTGGCGCCCGGCTGCTCTGATTGGTTGTTTGCGGTGGTTTCTCCCATCAACACCCGGAGTATGCCGGAGCAGTACCTACCTCTCCTCGCCCCTTAGAACACACACACCCTACCGCACATGCCAGGGGACCAGTCGGGTACAGTCTGCGGCGGTGCCCTCTGGCGGGAGATACCTAAGGTTGAGATCTTAGGTTGCAGTCGGTTTGCTGCTTAGTTGATCTGAGGTTGACGCGCCCGGAGTCACTAAATGAAAGCGTGGAGTGCGCTTGCGGCGTTCCGGCGCCAACTGCGTGGGCGCAGAGAGCTCATTTTGTGCCCCCGAGCCGAAGGCGCCATCTCCGCCCGACGCCGCTCGGCGCCGGCTCCCGCGAATCAACTTAGCCAAATGAATCGAATCAGCCCAACTGAATCACGCACCGACCTGTGGGAGGGGCTCATTAAGGCGGCGGCGTAACGACGTGGCGAATCAGGGGGCTCCTGCCCCCTCGCTGGGGCGACTTCCGCTCGGGGCGGGAGGCGGGTTAGAATTTCGGGAGTTGATCACTCCCTCGGTCTACCAATTCCCGTCTCTCGTCTCTCTCGCTCTCTTTCATTATTTCTCTCTCGCTCTCTTAATCTCTCTCTTTCTCCCTCTCTCTCACTCTGTTTTCATATTGATTTGTTTTAATATTTAAATGTGAGCAGTTGTAGTGCTCCTATCTCCTTTATTTTTTATAAACAAGGATTGTTCCAAATTCACAAGTAATTCGTCGAACGTAATTATTTTATTCACCACGTCAAATTAAAGTCACAAAAATTTGCGCAAATTTTCACTTTGAATCCACTACGTAATGAAATAACGTGACCACAAACTACCTGAACACAATTCATGTTTGTTTCTTTCATGCTGTTCTCTGATTGATCTTTGGTAGAATTCCGACGTAAACGTTAGGTAAAAGCTTCCTGCTTGTGAACCCTTAAGTTTACGCATTAGCGTTTACGGTTACGTCAAGGCATAGTGACTGGTCTCGCTTAATAACTTTTTTCTAAGTTTTGCAGCTACATTATGTTTACGTTGAAGTTTGCATTGTGAATGAGGCCTAAGGGACTGTGGTCAGTTCAATGAGAACCATGCAATAGTTATCGTTATTTATGATATATTTGAGTGGTATTTCACTTTGCGATTAGCACTTAGCAATGCGCGATAGGCCAAGTGGCGCAGTGCTTTTGAGCAACACTAAGTGCGTGTGTCGAACACTGGGTTTAGACAGCCTTACTGACTTGCATTTTATTTTAATTCACATCACAAATCATCTACAAATCACTTAATCATGTCCTAATATATTGCATGAAGGGAAGTGATAACTAAGCCGATCAGCCTAATATTTTGGTTTTCTTTATTCCATTTACAATTTTACTTGTAATTTGAACCTCGTCATCTTTTAGCACTAGTGGCAAACCTTTTAGAATCTTGTTTACTAGTGCGCGTCTAAAAGGCTGCCCCCAAATTTTTTATTTTTTTTTTGTACTTCTTCGGCTTCTTTTTGTTCTTAATCTTGTGTCTTGTTTCCTAGTGATTCGGGAAGGCCTTTACTGTCTATTTTCGCGGGTCGTCTCATGGAACTGAAAACGAGCGCAATTTCTACTTTTTCACCTCACGAATTTTTCGTAAGGACAGTAAGTTGTGTTATCGTTCGCCAGGAAACTCGTTCGTCAGAAAAAAACCTTATTGCATGGTTCTGGTAACGAAAAGATAGATAATTTTTAAAAAGTCCTCTAACACGTGGTGTAACCAAACTCCTAGTTTTGTTGGTTCTTGATACCGAAACATTGACGGTTAAACATTCGTCACTCAGTTTGTTTGTCTGTCTGTCCGTCTGTGGTCATCGGTACCGCCTAAACTGTTCAGCTGATTTTCTTCAAAATTGATATTCTCTGATCGAATATAACGACATACTTTGGGTGTTTCTAACGGATGTTTGATTATTGAAGGCTTTTTATTCGTACATGAATCGCACACTTACATATTCCTTTGGGACCACTTGGTGGCAAAATGCGTTGGTTGTAAAATGAGAGCCTCTCGCTGGAAGGCGGCGTGGTTCGAATCCGTTCGACGGCAAGCTATTCGACCCTAGTTAGATTGGTGGAGTTCATCCGCTGACTGGAGAAGAATCCTGGCAGGCGGCTGCTGTGCTCGATGATCTTTCCTTCCTCTTCCTTGTCAGATCCTCGCCCCCTTACATACATGCACTCCGCTACCCCGCAGCCGGGTGCGTACAGCTTGTTCCGGCTGGGACCGCGGTGCGAGATACTTGGTTGGGAAAACTACCCGCTAGCCGACGTGTGGGTCGGCGCGGGACCTCCCACAACGAAACATACACTACACTTACTGGACTGATATCCCTAGCACTTAACACTGATAAATTAATTAGATTCGTAGCGTGAGTACGAATTGGAATAATCCGTTGGTGTGAACGCCTGGTGTAAGCATAATTGTGTGTGTGTGTTTGCAGGGGCACCGGAGGGCGTGGGCGTGGGCGAGGGGGCGGGGGCGGGGGGCCGGAAGCCGCCCCCCGCCCCGCGCCGCTGTTCGCCGCGCGACTCGTGGGGCGACGCCAGCAGCAGCGGGAGCGGCAGCGGCAGCGGCGGCGGCGACGACAGCTCGGGGCCCGGCCCCTCCCCGAGCCACGCGCGCGCCGCCCCGCGCCTCGCGTCGCAGCGCCACCTCTCGCCCAAGGTGTGCAGCCCCATGCGGAAAATGTTCGCTGTCGCAGGCCCATTATTCCAGGCCTTTATTGTTCTAATGCGTTATTGTTCTACAGCACTTCACTGATAATAGTAAATACATAAATTCAATGCCCACATGAATAAAAATATAGTCACTTACGTAACATGGGACCGAAACAGGTGATTCACGCACTAGTCGAGTTAGTCTTCGGAGCGAAGCGAGGAGACAGAGACGAGTGCGGGAATAACCTCGCGCCCGTGTTGCGCATATTATTTTTTAACACGCCTTGAGCGAAACGCAATGCGTCAAATGTCCATCCGAACCACTTTCTGAAGTCATGTTTTACCTTACTTGTACCAAAGGAAGTGGATTATGGCATTGTCGTAACACTCGACAGTAAAATAGTTATTTATTCATAAGGGTTCTGATGATTCACCAGCGACAAAATGCCCGAGGGCATTGGCCCGAGATCATTAAAACCAGTTAATGAAACATACATAATTGTATTTTTTATATCTAATTTTCTAATTTATTAATGTACTAATTAACTAGATATTAACTCTACCTAGCTTCTTTTCGTATTTCCTTCTCATGAATGCCCTTCAAAAGATAACATGTAGCAGCACTCATATGTTTTCATATTTCCCTCGTCACCACGATCTTCTCGACCCAGGTAAGTTATGCCGGGTATATCGAGCTCAGTATCGAAGGAAATAACGAGCTTCAACGCATCAGTAAAAAATAAACATTTTATTTTAGTTCCTTATATCACAAAATTACTACTTTACTGATACGATATTGCGTCTTATTATCTTCGATACAGAGCTCGATATGCATCGCATAACTTACCTGGATCGTGGTTACGGGGAAATGTAAAAACAATTGAATTATACAAATGTTCTGTTATGGGAGGGAAATATGAAAAGGCGAACCTTATCGCGTTGACATTTAGATAATTAGTCAATAATTAAATAAAATTAGGTGAAAAATAAAATCATATGTATACCACGGGCGTTAACTGATTGTAACGATGGGGCGGCGAGATCAATCCCCGAGGGCCTTCAGACCATCATCAGAACCCTTATGACGCCCTTCGAGCCTAATTACATATTTTTTGTTTTCACCTTTTATCAGGTTTTCGTGTATAAGTTACCCTTTCAAACTATAAAACAATAAGTTTATTCGGTTTTCTGTTGTTCTCCGAAGTAGGAAAGTCCTGCGTTCGCGCCAGAGGCATTACTGCTTGCGCTGAGTCCGCGTGCGCGTGCGCGTGCGCGTGCGCAGGTGTTCCCGCCGAGCGCGGCGTTGGGCACGTGCAGCCTGCCCGCGGCCGCCGTCCTCCGCGCGCGCAGCGCCACTCCCACCAGCGGCCTCGCGGGCGGCGCCCCGCCCCCGCACACGCCCCCGCACACGCCCCCGCTGGCGGCCCCGCGCTGCCTCAGCGCCACGCCCGGTGAGTGCCCTCACGCGCTCCGCAGCGGTGGCAGGTTATGGCGGCCTCTCAATCCACTCAGCAGCGCGCGGCTGAGGTGGCTCAGGGCATCAAATGACCTGACGTTGACAGGTTCCTCAACACTTGATAGATTGCTTGGTCCAACTCATCCCATGGAGATTTCAAGTACTAAAAACTTTTGAAATCAAAAGGGAGATAATCCGAGATTGAATATAACAAAAAAAACAACAAAACACCACATTCACCCGTTACTTGCGCCCAATTATACTAGCATGAACTGCACTACCGCGCTGTTGGGAGATTCCTGGTTAGGGAGAAATCCGCTACCCCCCCCCCGAGTTGGAAGCTGCTCTCCACCCTACGTGACTAACACGTCGGTGTGTGTGGTGTTAGGGCGCAGCGTCGGAGCGCTGCCGCTGGCGCCCCCCTTGGCCACCCGAGCCCCGCCTTAACCCATCCACCGTCCGCGCCCGCAGTGGCTGACCCTTCGCCGTGGTTGGGCGCGGGCGCCGCCGGGGCGCGCGCACCGGCCTCGCTTTTCGCGGCGGGAAGCCGTCGCCGACCCGCCCGGCCGGGCCAGCCCCGCGCCCTCGCTCGCCTCCGCCTGCTCCGTCGAGGACCTGCAGGCGCGCGGCGAGGAGGCCGAGTCTCGCAGGCGGCAGGTGAGCGCTTGGCCATGCTCGTACATGAGCGATGCGATGTCGGCCATTGTAGTGGACTTGTAGGAGTAATGAGAAGTTTGTGTTGAGCGTTTTGCTGGGCGTGCGCAGGCGCAGGCGGCGCGGCTGCGCGAGCAGGAGGCGGAGCGGCAGGAGCGCGCGCGCCTCGAGGAGATCCTGGCGCTGTGCGCGGAGTACGAGCGCCAGGCGCAGAGCGAGCGCGCCCTGCAGCAGCAGCAGACGCCCAGCCCGCGCCCGCCCAACACGCCCACGCTGCAGCAGAACAGGTACTGCACCTGCGCGGTGTAGTCAAGTAACAAACAAAACATTCAAATACATAACAATGACTCAACACGCACCTTTCTAAGAGCTACTTGCAGCGTCAAATGAATAAGCCATAACCATAGTAGTAAGCCTTGTTTCGAGTTCTTTACGTTGTTTTTTTAAATTCCAGTTTGTGAAATGTACAATTAAACGTTAGATGACTTTCATATTTCCCGTCTTATTAGAAGAAATTAATCTAATTTGCGGCCGTGAAAACGTCGCAATGCGACTCTTAATGCGAGACAATGTGGCCGCTTAACGCGAGTGGCCGCTTAATGCGAGTGGCCGCTTAATGCGAGTGGCCGCTTAATGCGAGTGGCCGCACAATGCGAGTGGCCGCACAATGCGAGTGGCCGCACAATGCGAGTGGCCGCACAATGCGAGTGGCCGCTCAATGCGAGTGGCCGCACAATGCGAGTGGCCGCTCAATGCGAGTGACCACTCAATGTGTTGAGCTTAATGTGCTGGGATTGTTTATATGGATGGTACAAGGTGCTTAATATTAGAGGTCGCTTAATAGGGGAGATCACTTAAACTGGACGGTTGCTTAATATGGGATGGTCGCTTAAATTGGGTGGCCCCATAGGCTGCATCCCGAGGGAGGCCGCCGCCGCCGCCTGGTGCTCGCGTTGACGGTGCGCTGCTCCCTCGCGCAGGCGGCGCGGGCGGCGTCGCCCTTCATCGCGTTATCGCCCGCCGGATAACGTATCGAGGCGCCGTCGCCCGCGCGCGTTTATTGGTTCACGCAGCATCTCGCGCCGCGCCGCTCCTCTCAATATCCAGGCACCCCCCTCCCCCCGCCAGGCAACTTCTCCCTCTCGGTCCGCGCGAGGGGCGAAATGTCGCTGGGGGACATGCGTCGGCGTCGCCTCCGGGCAGGGGGGGCCGAAAAGGGGGCGCCTGCGTTCGTGCAAAGGGCGAAGACGGAACCACGGACGGTGTTAGACGTGAAGATCCGTTTGGTTAACTGGGAGAAAGCTTTTTCGGATTTCTCAATAGACTTGGGCCAAAAGTGCTCTTTCTTTGGGAGTCAAAAATAATCTTGAAAAAGCGAAAATTTGAATGTATTTTCGTGGTTTTAATGAACAATATAAATGTCTAGTGTTAATGATGAAACAAAGCACCACGACTTATTCAGTAATATGGATTTAACAGATTTCTCAAAATGTATAAAGTGTCACTTACACCGATCTAATTTTCACCCCTTCATATAATGTATAATTTCTTTAAGTGGTATGTACTGACATGAACGTAACCTTTTCATTGGATCCATATCACAAATAACAGACTTGGGTGATTATTGACTCAGTGTCTGCCAAAAGATGTGTAAGTACAGTACGCCAAAAAGTCTCTCCGCACTAAGCCGAGTCAGGGCCTCCTATTAAAAATCCCTTTTATGTTGGTAGCAACCAGATCACTGGGAAACACGTGAAGGAAACACTACTTTCAGCATCTACTATAATATGTTGAGTATGGATTCAAGCTGCATCTCACCAAATTTGTTTTGCAAGCCACTTTTTCTCAAGCAAGGTGCCACTGCGGAAAGATTTTCCTGGCGCGCTATACAAAGTTGGAATGCTAAACTACACCAATATCTCTTTCTCTTTCGATGCTGCCAGGGGCCACTCGGACCACGCGTACATTCCGCTTTAGCAAGTGCAAGCATCTTTCTGGGGGAGATCAGCATTTTAACTGAATCCAGATTCCCTGATCCTTGAGCAAATAATGAGATGGCATCATCTTTACCTGTTTTTCACGTAAATAAATAAAATAAAATATCCCCCAAAGTTGTTAGCACTGGAGGTAAGGACGATGATAGTAGAGGATGAAAGGCCGGTACACCCAAGGCGGGACTCAAACCGCGGTCTTCTGGTTCGAGATAGATACGGCACTACTGCCGTAACAATCTCGGCCATCTAATCAGCTATACATCGATGTTAATAATGATCGACCAAAAGCCATCGATGTTTTAAACTGGTTGCCCATCCTCTAGCATTAAATCTTCTCTCGGGACAAACTTTAATTTGACAGTGGCTGTGTTTATAATAAATTTATGATTAAGATTTAACTAGCAAAACAAGTTTAAAAGCGTAATAAGACATTTTTGAAGAAAACTGGGGCTGCTAGTGTGAGGGCCGTCTGAAGGGGCCAGAGCGTCTCAGGGCTGTCGTCGAAGGGCATGCGAAGGGAGAGGGGAGGGGAGGGGGGCCCTACGCAGGGAAGGCGAAGCACCTCGGAGGGCGCCGGCGGCTGCCTCGCGCGAGAGGGCTCGCTCCACAAAGGTTAGAGCAAGCAGTCTTCACTTGGTTCGAGCACATCAACTGGCTGGGGCACCATTACTTAGTGCTTCGTCTTTTAACTTTTACAAAATAGAAATTTGGTTTGGCACAAAATATCGATGTTTAAAAAACATCGCCTTTAATGAATTGATGTTTAAACCAACGATATTTCTATTTAAGAGTCGGTGTTTAAAGAATCGATATTTCTATTAAAATGGATGTTTTCCAAGCATCTGCATCGGGGCTGGGCGCCCTGCGGCTGTGCCTGGGTCGAGCGATAAGATAAGGATGTTTGCCTCTCACCTGCCATCCGCCCCCGCCCCGCTGGCCTCGCGCACACACGGAGGGGGCCTGCGTCCCCACACATCGCTGTTCGCTTTCGAATGGGACGTTTTGCAGAGCGCGGCGGCAAACGAGATTAGTGGAGCCTGAAAATTCTGGCATTTAGTTTACCGAAAATACGCAAGCAATAAGGCAATTATTTTTACTAAAGTAGCCAAACGATAAGGTATAATCTAATATAAACAACAATGTTTGTTTGCTTCTTTGTTGGTTCGTGCTTAATGCGCTTCTGTACCGTTCATCCGATTGCGATAAAACTTTGTCAACTTATTACTTGCACTTGTAGGAAAAATATAGGCTTAATAAATATATGCATATCTCTGTGCACGTAGACGTCCGTTGCTGATGATTTTATGTAGACTCAATGGACGTTCCTGGCCAGGGCGCTTTACACAACGGCCATCTCTAGGTAACCTGTTGCACACTGAAGTACGATTATTAAGACTTCTTCACTGCGTATTCAGAGAAAGAGAAGACAGGGACGCAGAGAGAGAAACAAAGAGCCAGAGAAACAGAGACAGACGGGGAGAGTGACAGAGAGACATTGTGTGTGTGTGTGTGTGTGTGTGTGAGAGAGAGAGAGAGAGAGAGAGAGAGAGAGAGAGAGAGAGAGAGACGGAACCACACTTGCGAGAAAGTCTTTCGTCAATTGAAATTTTTGAAGAGCGTAGAGTAAAAACATGATTTACATCTCGTGACCAGTAGCATGTCAAGTGTAATCCATTGCAATAGCGAAGCATTGCCGGGCCTAATAGTTTTAATAAAATAGGCAAGCAGTAGGCATTATTTTACTAAAACAGCCTAGCAAACCCCATCAGCATGTCCTGCGACGAAACATGCATTTCACGTACGGGTCTATAGTACGTAGTTCACGCGCCTGGAATCCCGAAGTAATCAGGTAGTGAAGTCGAGATGGAGCCGACCTCTGTCTGGGTGAGGATTCGTCAAGTCGAGATTGGACGCTTCCGTGCTTCCAGGCGAATGCCGCCGCAATCCTACATCGCGCCACGGGCCGCGCGCGAAGTCATCCTCATCCTCGTGGGATGCGTTCGCAGCTTCTCACTCGCGGAGCCCTTGCCCGAGCGATGAGATCGCTGGAGGAGGAATGTGGTAGTGACCTCTGACCGGAAAACGCATAGACAGAACCTTTCACATCTCACCTCTCGGCGATACACTTGTCGTGAATGTTAGCTCCCCTTTCACGCTGCATTAAAACTAAAAAGGCGTGCTTACTGTCCACCCGTTAAGCCATAGGACAAGAGCACGAAACGACTGAGAGTCATTCGAATTTGGAAGCAAGGGTATTCTCGCACAAATATAACGATTAACTCACCAATATATTTGTAAATCTAACAATCCTTTTCTTTCTTTCTTTCTTTCTTTCTTTCTTTCTTTATTTATTTATTTATTTTCCTTTCTTTTTTCGTTCTTCTTTTCTTCCTTCCGTACATCTTTCAAGAACTTTTCCAAAAAATGTATTTCAAAATTCTACGATGATATAAAAAAAAGCATTATGCAAGTAACACCATATCTTAATCGCAAATGCTGCTGGCCTCACAAAAAGTGCCCCTTGTCATTGTGAATTTTTGATTATATCTATCAGTTTACCCTTATAGTACTTGCTCCAAATTTCTCTTTATTACTTTCACCGGAAGATAATGATTCAACAAAATACCTGATAGAACTGCAGATCAACCTCGACCAAGACGAAACCTGTTATGGAAAACACGACGGTTGTGGAGAATGTTATTGGTTTTAGGGCTTGCAACGACGATAAAGGCACTTTCCCGCATCGATAAGATACTTGATACACATTTGTATATTAAATGGCATACGATGATGCAAAGAAATAAATGCAGATTGGTTGAAAGAAACTCCTCTTTTCTCGTCAGCATGGCACTCCGGGTTTCTTTCCTTCACAGGGTTCGGAGTATAATTTCCTGTACAAACAAACAAACAAACAAACAAACGAACATGCAAATGTGACAAACTCGTAGTTCGGCGTCCTCCGCCGTGGTGCAGCGGTTAGGGCGTTCGCCGTCCCCCGCGGGGGCCGGAGATCATACCCCGTAGCTACCTTCAGTCTTAGGCGCGGGGGTTGAAATAGAGAACGCGTAGGGATTGCTGATGCGACATCTACAAATAAATATCCTTGTTGCCAAACATCGATGTTGAAGATAAAAAACAGCGATCCACGATGTTTGCTAACATTAATTTTTTAATGCTGGTTCAATTACCTCTAACTTCCAATTGCTGCTTAGCAAAATTTAATTTGTCGGTGGCCGTGTGTATTAATGTGTAATAAAAATTTATCGGAAAACAATGATAAAAACACCTCTTCATGTGCGTTATACGAAGTAAATAGCAACCCATGAGGATAATCTCGGGCGCGTGATAGTCCGCTCGATGAAGGTGGAACAAACGGAATCCGAACACAAAACAGTGGGGTTATCAGCTATTAAGCAATTGTGGTTATGGCAATTTTTCATACACAAACAAAAATCGAAAACGTAAAAAACATCCTCTTCAATACATTGATGTTTAAAACATCGATATTTTTATAGAAACATCGATGTTTTGAGAACATCAACATCGCTGTCGTCTCCCTAGTGGGGTCCAGGGGGTCTTGCGCATCGTCTCCGACTTCAGCCAATGAGCTTCAGGTTCCAGTTTGCATCACAATATTAGCGGGAATTTTAAATGCGCTCAGATACCAAAATAATTACATCGTTACGAGACATTGAAACAGATTATTGAAGCATTTCTTTTGCATATTGCATTCTGTATTCCTTTATCGAGTATTTGTTGGTTAGTTACTGATGAGAATTGCCACTTTGTACCACTTTCAAATGTTTCTCAACACTTCTGCCTGTCCATGCTACTCGGCGGCCAGCGTTTCGAACGAAATGCCCGAGTGGTGCCGAGAGGAGCAGAAGTCGGTGCTCCGAAGAAGCCACCGCGCGTGTCCACCGGGACGGGGTGCGGGGAGAGTCGCGGGCGCGTCTTCCCGGAACGCCTCCCCCGCTCACGCGCCAAATGAACTCTCAGCCGCTCTGCGCGCGGGACACGCGGTTCTTCGCCCATCGCTCCGTCCTGGCACTTGAAGGTTGCAGCTCGTTGCACAACGATGCTCGTTACTAGAAATTCGTTTTATTTTGTGACCCTTGTTTGCATTTTTCGTCGATTTCGGCTGATAAGTCTTTTTTACCTTTTTACGTCATTTTTTATGCATTTTCGCTGATTTCATCGATTATTTTAATATTATTGTAATGGTACTTCAAACAATATTTACGAGATGCAACAAATGTTGACCACAGAATTCCTGTGTAGCCTATTCGATTTTTCCCGCATTCGATTTTTATTGTAATGTCAGCCGTAGTGAATACTACGTAAACTACTGTTTCTGTTCAGTTCCATTTTCATTTCGGCCGATTTCGCGATAAATAAAGGCAGAGATTTTCTTTTAAAGAACAGTCCAAACCAAAAGTTGCAGGCTGAGTTCTCAAGCTGCAAGATGAAGTCTCGAATACATCAGTAACATACCCACCAGCCTGATTTGTTCAACTCAAGTGGTTTTGATAAACAAATTTACTTACTTTTTCTTTGTTTTTAGCCGCGCCTAAGTCTTAAGGTAGCATTTTAAACGTATTTAATAACATTTTATTGACCATTTTTGACTGTTTCAGGTCATCAAAATTCGCCCCTACTCATTACGATTTAGATTTCATTATAATACAGGGTCTTGACAATCACAGAGTTTTCAAGCCAAGTATTATCACTTAAGTAATCATCATGTTTTGAAGCGATGTTTTATACACATATTTATAGTTTTCTTCCTTTTACTTTTTCGGTACTGCTTATGAAATAGAAAGTTATGTAATGTTGATGTTGCGCGAAAAAAGGGAGTTTTCGGCAGAACAACACTTATTACAGGGCCCCGGCAACGAAAAAGTGTATAAATGGTGATGGTAAATTTACAATAAAACTAACTCATGGTGTAGCCAGAATGGTTTATGGGTCCTTGATACCTAAAAATAAATTGACGGTAAAACGTCTGTCTGTCAACAACGCCAGCGGCTAAACCCTTCAGCCGATTTTCTCGAAATTTGATATTCCCCCAACTATCTGGTATAATGGATCGCATCCAAAGGCGTGCTACCATTTTGAATAAACTTAATTTTTAAACCATTTTTTAAATTTCAATTTAACACCATTTTACTTCAAAAAGATTTATGGGGCGGGTGACAGTCGTGACTGGAATATCATTTCTCCTCTATGAAATACTTATCGGGCCCACCTCTCTTGCGAAGGGGGGAGTGAAGGGGATGGTGACATTTTCAGGGATCTGCACAATATTTCGGGGTACCGGGTTAGTGACGTTGTACTGGAGGGAAAGGGTCGGATGCAGGCTGGTCTGATGTGCACTTTGAATCAAGTCCCTCTGGCTTCTGAGATGGGTTTGAAGGTTGTGTTGTCTTGATCAGAAATTGTATATTTTGTTTGACTTACTGAATCGAAATTATTTTAATATTACATTTCAACATGCTTCTACTATTAGTACTTATTATAAGCTTTTCTGGGTTATATGATGTGTAAAAATAAATACGCGAAGACCACGCGTAGAAAGCGCGCGGAGACGAGTCAGGCGCGTGTGTGTTGCAGGATCAAGACGAACGGGTCGCTGCCGCGCGACAAGCGCCTGGCATCGCCCGGAGGGGGCGTGTCCGCCTCGGAGGACGAGCTGGCCGAGATCTTCACCTTCGACCTCGCCGCCTCCGCAGGGTCAGCTGCGCGCGCGCCTCTTCTCTACTAACTAGTGGACCACAGGCATCCTTATTCAGTCATGTGCATTGCTTATTTATTCTGTATACTTACCAAAATGCTACTATTTTGCTTGGTGCAAAAATAGCTATTTATGTTGTTTACCGAGGATTCACATGAAATTGCGGGGAGGGAGGCGAAATTAATATGATGTATATTCTAGGCCTATCATTCAACATATAATAGTATTTGTTTCCTGCTAAAGAGCTTTCATTCGGTAGCAATACTTATAATGACAAAGGCATACTTGTACATATGGAACATATAAAGACAAGTTAAGAAAATATATTTTAGGGAATTACTAATAAGTAACTAGGAAGACTCATAAGAATTGCCATCGCACGCAATTCCCTAGAGGATTCCGGTAGCAACGCGCGCTAGAGGGAAACGGTGCTAGTCGTGCAGCGGGTAGCTTGTTCCAGTCAGTTTCTCCACATCCACCGCTTGTGGCTTTGAGCGTGGACATGTGTGGTCGGGTCGTGCGCAGGTACTCGTCGAGCCCCGTGGCGAGCCCTCCGGCGGGACCGGGGGCGGCGGCGGCGCAGAAGCAGAGCGGGCGCTCGCCCTACGAGAACGTGGCGGTGGGGGGCGCGGGGCCCCAGCTGCAGCAGCCGCAGAGCCCGCGCACACGCATCCGCACCATCGTGCCCCAGGCGCCGCCCGCGCACAGGTACGCCCCCCGCCCCACGCCCCTTCACACTCGGCCACGCGGACGCGCCGCTCGACCTACCACCCCTTCACGTGGAGCCACTCGGCAGCGCTTCCGAGCGGCGCGTCCGCTGGCAAAGCGTTGGGTTAAATGGCGGCCTTCACAATCGGCCACGCGGACGCACCACTTAACTTACGACCCTCTCCTACACAACTCCTCTGGTTTTATTCATTCTTTTAGGCTTGCCCAGTTTATCCATATGCTGTACTAATGCAGTGTGATTGTATTTTGCAACTCTCAGTGTTGTTATGATAAAGGGGAAAAGTCATAGAAGGCGAAGGCATGGATACAAATACTTTCATTTTCACTGTAGAAATAAATGAATTAGTTTTTCGCATTGTTAATTGGATAGATAAATTAATTCATGAGACGAAGAGATTAACCGGACCCTTCGGTTAATCTCTTCGTAAACTATTAACCGCATGCGGTTGAGCGACGTTTTCCGCTCCTGTGCGCGGATTTTGTGATTGCGCCTCTCCAAGACGATCAGGAGTTTCAGCTTAGCATCCTGCCGATTCGCAGTGCAAATGTCGTTATGCTGTCGGGCAAAAGCGTGTGTAGATTTCTAACATCTCCATCTCTCACCTTAATGTTTTTAACATTTAATACTGTTTTCTTGATACGGGTACACAGCAGTTTTCAGATTTGTTTTTAAATATCTGTTGCAGCCGAGACACGTGCGAAATCATCGAAAACCGAATGGCCTTGGCTTCAGACTACGATTTTGTGGGGTCTTTGCCGCAAAACAAGCAGCAGCAGAAGCAGGACCAACAACAACCACAGCAACAACAGCAGCAGCAGCAGCAACAACAGCAGCAGCAGCAACAGCATCAGCAACAACAGCAACAACAACAAAGACAGCAATATTACAACGAACAAAACAAGCAATATCAGCAATACGAGCAGCACAGTCAGTTTCCGCAACAAGATACGTACCCTCAGAAAGATGTGCAGACACTTGAAGAGCGAACCCTACAACAATTGCAACAACAGCAATTCCTTCAACAGGAAGTGAGGCAGCAAATAATGCAAGAGCAACTTAAACAACAGCAGCAGCTTCTACAAGAGCAGGGACAGCTGCAGCAGCAACATCAACAACAACAACAACAACAACAACAAACTGAGAAACAGTCGCAGGAAGAGCGAAAAAATGAAGAACAACACATGTCTCACCAGCAACAAGCTCAACAACACGCTCAACAAGCTCAACAGCAACAATTGCATCAGCAACAAGCTCAACAGCAACTAGCTCAACAGCAACTAGCACAACAGCAGCAAGCTCAACAGCAGCAAGCTCAACAGCAGCAAGCTCAACAGCAGCAAGCTCAACAGCAGCATGCTCAACAGCAACAGCTACAACAGCAACAGCTACAACAGCAACAGCTACAACAGCAACAGCTACAACAGCAACAATTAAAACAGCAACAATTACAACAGCAACATTTACAACAACTACAACAGCAACAAGAGCAGGCTCAACGCCTCCAAGACCAACAACAGTGGATTCACGAACAAAAGCTACAGCAACAACAATGGATACAAGAACAGCAGCAACAGCAGCAGCTGCGGTTGAAAGAACAACAGCAGCGAATGCAAGAAGAGCAACACAGACTTCAGCAACAGCTGCAAATGCACCACCAGCAGAGGATCCAGGAACAGCAGCAGCAGCAGCATTTCCAGCAGCTGCAGCTCCAGCTGCAGCAGCAGCAGCAGCAGCCGACGGGCGGGGCGGGAGAGCAGGGGCGGGCCAAGGCGAGCGAAAAGGACAAGTTCATCCTGCCGTTGGGCACGGGCAGCCCCGACGCGCCGCCCGACGCGCTGGGGGCGCCCCTGGCGGCCGGCAGGCTCAACGGCGAGCTGCGCGCGCGCGAGCGGGGCCGCGAGCACAGGGCGCGGCGCGCGGACGACTCGTCGCCCAACTCGGAGGACAGCCCCGTGCGCCCGGAGCGGCCCACGCGCTGGAAGGTCAGCCCGCACTCATCGGCGTTGCGTTTGGTTTAGTCTAAAACAAAAACTACATCTTGACGTTTAGGGGATAAGGACGCACCTACCACCTTTTCGTGAGCTCCACAAACTCTCCTCTCAACAATTAAACGACGAATAAAAGTTTTTCAAAAGCACCAGGATAACAACATGTGGAAAAATAGACATTTTGCGCCAGAGTTATAGAAAGCATATTTGCATCGGTAAACGAACTGCAGATATGATTGTTTTGTATTGCTAGCAAAATAGTAACGTACCCTCGACTCTACTTCTACCACTACTAGCAAAAGTAGAGCTCAATAAAACGTAGTGAAGCTACGTTGGTGCGTGCGTGCTTGACATGTCTTGAAAAGAGAAAATACTCTACGTTTTTGATATAAATGGAAAGGTTTTAATCCATTATCGTAGCGAACGAGACAGAATCGACTCCCGTGCTGGCGTGAGTGAAACGGCGTCATATTCATAACCTCAAACTTCAAGGCGCGTGCCCAACCTCCGTGAGTCTGTCCAAAGCATTCTTCGCGACGCCACTCGTTTGCTGAACACATTTAACATGTCGTTTCTACGCACTGCTGCGCGTGTCAGTTGGGTGACGAGGCTCCGGCCTCTGCCTTCGCGATTAAAATATCTTTGAGCCCCGTGAATAAGCTGATGAGTCATGAATGCTTAAATGTTTCAGGAGAGCCAAACAACTTTCAGCTGATGCTGTAAATCATGGATTAATGATTTCAAACCTACACTCAGTTTAGTTTGAATATCACCTTAGTTTTAATATCATTAATCCCTAATTTACTTCAGTTGAAATATGTTTTTTTCTCTCTTGTAAAGTGTATTCATTCTTGACTTATCAGCGTATTCACGGGGGTCAGAGATATAAGCCTCTTTGACGCGTATTTTCCTATTGACATTCTAATTATGAAAAACAACCGATGTCATTGGAACTACGTAAACAGAATTCTCTTCTTCCCGTCACTCGTTTTTCGCTTCTGTTCTCAGATCTCGCGATGGAGCAATCGAGTCGTTAAACAAAAAGAGCCAAAAGAAAATGTCACTCAATTCTGTTATCAACTACTTTTAAAATAATTTAATATGTTTGAGCCACTATTATTACCAACTAGCCATACGATGTCGTTAAGTAGAGCCTATTGGGTGGAATAAGTTGATTTGATCTTAATAGTTTCCAAATGGCTATGAGTAAATTTTAATCTAATGGCTATATTGTCTTTCAGGAAATGAGATATGTAGTAGCTTTGTCATTTAAATATAAGTGGAAGTTTTATACCTTTTTGAAATACGTTTAAATTTAATTAATGTTTAAAAATTATTTTTTTTTCTTTTTATCTTGTTTTATTTGTGTATCACTATCACTGTAACGTTTTAAAATCTCGATATGGTAGGAGTTGTTTTTCATTTTTGTTTTGAAGAATTGACCTTCATTAGTTTAAATAATCCTCGAAATCAATATGGGAAATTACAGGCAGTTCAAGTGCTGTTTGTGTTTTCAGATGACAAGAGATGAAGGAGACTTGCTGAGGAAGGAGAGAACTAAGCTTTTGGGTACATTATCTGCAATTAAGAGAAAAATTACTGAAGTTGAACAACAAGAGGAAGAATTGTTGAGAGGGGTAAGTATGTATATTTGTAGTTATATACAGGACTTTCTCGAAAACCTGTACACATTTGTGAATGATTTTTTTCTCAATTAGAGTAAAATTTGCTTAATAACACGCCTTTGTTTAATAAGTGCTGCTATGGGCGCAATTAAGTACTCCTGTCGGCGCAATTAAGTGCTGCCGTTGCCACAATTAAGTGCGCTTGTGAGCGCAATTAAGCGCTGGTGTCGGTGCAATGAAGCGCGGCGCGGCGTTGCAGCTGGAGATGGAGCGCGCGCTGCTGGAGGGCGAGTGGGCGGCGCAGCGCGACCGCTCGCTGCAGGACGAGGCGCGGCTGTCGGCGCTGCGCGCGCGCGTGGGCCGCCTGGACGGGGAGCTGGAGCGCGGGCGCGCGCGCGAGGTGGCGCGGCAGGGCGACTGCCGCCAGCGGCTCGAAGCGGCCGCCGCCGAAATGCACAGGTGCGCAACAGCATGCACTCGCCTCCTGGAGTGCGGCCTCTTGTTGAGTCTCCTGCAGCGCTCTCCTAGAAAATACCACTTGCCATCATTGCAAGACGACGAGAATATTCTCAAAACTAAGGCTCTAGGGGGAAAATCTGTTCCGATCCGTTTTTCCAAAAATCCAAGCTGTTCAAAGAGAAGCAAATAGCATACGTTCTTATAGTCTAATATTCTCTCTGTATTGCTCCCGATATTCATAATTCAATTTAATTCCTATGAGTTATGGCCCAGATCCAGAACTCAAGAATATGACCAGTGAATGCTCTTCTTCCCATCACTTACTTTTTAACTGTTTGTGACGTTAAATAAATAAACCAAGTTCGAAAGTCTGAATGTACTTCTTCATAGGAGTAGACGCAGAACATTAGTTTTGTCTTTGCTTTTACGCATAACAAAGTAATGGCATTAGCTGTTCCTAAAGGCACGTAAAATAAATTAACTAAACAATAAAAATTAGTAGTTATTTTAGGTTCAGTAGTAGTGGTATGAATGTAGCTTAAAACTTGCACTCTTAAAAATGGCATTTTGAATTTTTCCGAATTTTCAGCTTTAATATCTCCGTTGAGGACCAGATCAAAATTTGAAAATCGCACTTCTGTAAACCATATGAAGCCAAACAATGATAGGTAATAATTTTAACTTTGAGATTCAACTCTGAGTAGGTAAAAAATAATGTTCGAAAACAAAACTTTACTCTCATATTCAAAATAACTGAGAACAAGTGGTAATCATATTATTTTCAAGCCATTTTTAACTAAATAAAATTGTATTATAAATAAATATATATAGGCTGCCTAATATGTAATTTGGAATGTAATTTTCTACTTTACTGTTAACGTCAAGTAACATAAATAGGGAGTGAAGAAGAGAAAGAAAAATACGATAAGAGTTGACACTACTTTTTTCAGTCAGGGAATATTGTGCCCATAGTTCGTGCAATGAAAGTCCCTAGAACAACATCAGTAAGAAAAGGTTTCCTGTTTACAATCCAAAGAGCCTAGAGAAGAGTCTTTTTAAAAAATTGCATTTTTTTGATACAAAAAATATGATGATGTACTAGGAAAAAGTTGTTTTTCTTTGTACTCTCCATTAACTAAAGTCTTTGCTCCTTCAGGTTGGAACAGGAAGTGATTCGAAGTGCAGGTTGCCCTGAACGCCAACGTGAGATAGCTGACAGATTGCAGCACCAACACGATCTTCTGGAGGCAGAGAAAAAGGTGAAAAAACTATTCTTATATTTGCATGCATTATGTTTAAAGAGTTGATGTGATGAAATGTATCACAAGATTAGTTCGAGAGCTTCATTATTGAGAAAATCCAAAATTTCGGAAAATTCGAACAAAATTTGAGATAAAGGAAAAATAAACAAAACAATGCTGTTTTTGTAGTGCAAAGAAAGGTTTATAATTAAGGTAGAACTGAACAACTAATTATTGAAACACAAGTTGTCGAAATGAACCTTTTTTGCACTGGTAACTACGGTATATATCACATGTTTATGTAGCAATAATTTTCACTTAGAGGAAGTAGCAAAATTGGAAACCTTTTCCCGTATGAATCTACTTGATGATGCGATCGCTACGTTGCCATTTTCTCACATCGCACAGATCATACAGATGTATTTGTATACATACGGTCCATAATCCGAACAGACCACTCCCACAATTCCGATTACCGGGGTTCTACTGTAGTTAGTTCTCGCCAACTTCTAAAAAGCCGGTCCTCTTGGGCAGCTGCTGCCACTCCTCTCGGTGGGGGTTGGGTGGGTGTCAGCCCCTCGGCCCCTGAACGCCGCCAAGGAGGTCCGGGTGCGATTCCCGGACAATCCAACGTCAAATGTGTTGCGACAAAACGCGTTTGACTGCTTCACAGGGCTATTCGAACCCCTGTGAAGTGCCCTAAACTCTACCCCTATCCTAATTCCTTCCCAATTGGCCGCTGGATAGTGACGCAGGAGCGCGTACGCCTGGCGGTCCTCTTGACAACTGACTGTAACGAGACGCGATGTTAATTGATGGAGGATTGCTCCAAAAGCGCAAAGCGCTCGCCCCTCAAGAGGCTTGAAGACGCGTTGCGTCCAAGTAGACGCGACTAACAAACAAACAAACAAACAAACATCGCTTAGGCCCTTGGTCCTGGTCTTGTATCTTTCGTTATTTGCCGATGGTATTTCCAACAAGTTCGTGTTGACTACAAAGAGTGAACGAAGCGCTTCCATCTCTGCAGAAAATTGAAGCCATGTGTTTTCCAGTCACATCACTGCTCTGTGGGAAACAAGTATTCTAGTATTCCGTGGGCCGCGTTTTATATAAATGCTCTTACTCTGTGACCAAAAACAAACCATTTAAAAAAGAAATCACAATATGTAAGGAGAACGAATTGAGAAACTTTAAAAACACGTGTCATTCATCGGTTATTGCCATAAGAATGGAAGAAGTTGAAATGTTATTGCAGTTAGCATAACTCCTGAAAGTGGATGTTACCGCAGTAAGAAGCAAAGAAATCACAAATCCATAAGGCGGCAAATGACGATTCAGTACAACAGTTGTGCACTCCGCCATCAGGCGCCTCGCATGTTTCGACTGCCAAAAACTTCGTGGCCCCTAGTTCTGCGAGTGTCCAGGAAGAGCGCTTGAACACAAGGTCAGCTAGCCACTCTATGTAGTGTATTGTAGCTCATTGGGCATTACTTGGCCCCATCTCAGTGCATTCACTTCACTTTTTGACCTCTCTTTCTTAGCATCGTCTCTTATGCTTATCTTCTTATGAACCTCTTAAGCTTATTCGTGATGTAAGTGAAGGGGGGGCAGTGAGTGGGTGCTGGTGCTGCTGTGGGCCGCTAGTGGTGTGTCTGTCGCAGGCGTTCGAGGACCTGGAATTCCGCCACCTGGAGGAGGAGGCCGGGTGGCTGGCCGCCCGCGAGGAAGCGCAGAGGGAAGCCGCCGAGGTGGGCGCGCGGGCCGCGGAGCGACGCGCGCGGTTGGCAGCACTGGAGCAGCAGCGGCGAGCGGCGGCGTGCGCGGCGCAGCAGGAAGGCCTCTCGCTGCAGAGGGCCTTGGCGGACGAGCTCGCTCGCCTCGAGGAGGTGCGTGGCTTGCCTCAACTGGAAGTCGTGACGATCGGTTTTTGTTAGGTTGGCAGCGGTGAACGTCTGCATACAGACTTTCTGACGGAGTTAAATGTGTCTTTACTGATGCTTAAAAAAGTCTGTATCAACGAAAACGTCAAAGTATTGAGTAGCATCGGTTGTGAAGAACGCCAACAAAATGGAAATGGGATTCATTTCCCCAGGCGTGTAAATATTGTGCGATAAACTTGATGAGAATGCAGTACAACATATTATTTGGTAGCCATTACTTTGATATTTTTTAGGTTTCCTTTTTCCCTATTACTTGCCATAAGCTGAACTTACGAAATTATTTAAAATACTCAAACCAAGAACACTCCCCTGCGTAAATGTTAAAAAAGTCTCCATGAAATGTTAATTACAATATTAAAGTATTAAAAATTGGTTCCTTACCAACTTTTTATTACGTTTTCATGAACATAAAACATTTTTTAATAGAATTGATACGCTAATTCCTGCTATTTTTTTGAGATAATGTGAGCAGAATAGACGTTTAACATCAAGGCGGACCGTCACGATTTCTCAGCACAGTGTTGTCTCCAGCCTACACTAGAGCGCTCTGGTGCAACTAAGGGCGGAGGGGGGCTCTTGCCCACGCCTTCAGCCAATGAGCTTTAGACACCAATCGCGTCACAATATTAGCGGGAATTTTAAATGCGCCCAGATACCAAAATTATCACATCGTTACGAGACATCCAAACAGATTATTGAAGCATTTCTTTCAAATATTAATAATATATGTGCCAGAGAAGGGGAAGCAAGGTCATCGGTCGAAACGCTTTGGCGGGACTTATCGAATATGAAACGAGATTTTTCCTGAATATATCGTTCGAGACGATCTGGATAGCCGAGATGGCTATACTTCAATTTTTCTGTGGGGTCGATGACATTATGTCGTTGTTACACCTCCTTCCTTACAAGGTGAATCTTTTTAACGGTGGTAAGCGCTTTTCTGAGGCCACGAGCCCCGTTGAGAATGACGTTCGTAAGACAGGCAGAAGGTGCGACAATGGCCTAACGTCATTGGCCACTACTGAAAAGTCAAAGTGTAAGAGCGTGTGCCGACTCGCTCTTCGGTCCGAAGGGTCGCGGGTTCGTATCCCGCCTTGAGCATGGTTGTTTGTTCCTTGTTCTCTCACTTATGTGTTGTCGCGGAGGGCCTCGCGTTCTGCTTGCACCAGATCAGAGGAGCCCGCAAGAGAGTTGGTGACTAGTGCATGGTCGAATATACGATCAATCGGGATGTAAAGGTAACTGGCTGTCGGCTGGAAACAGCCGTAGGGGAAAAATCCCAACGAAAATACGGGATCGTCATATTTTCTTTTTCCGCTTGGTCGGTTAGGTTCATACTCTGACATGGACATTCCTTGTCATGAATTTCCTAAAAATTTACGAAACAATAATTGAGGAGACAATAGAAATATTACGAATGTATGTAATCTTACGTAATTATATTCGCCGAAGTATTCTCGACATACATCTCGAAATTACTGAGTAATCTCGATATTTTTAATGGGTCGATAAAGAGAGTCTCAAACGATTGGTATTATATAAAGTGAACGCGAAAGTGAATGTAAATATATTTCGAGATTACGATGCGGTGTTTGACGAGGTTCCGTTGACCGCCGCCTGGTGAGTGCAAATCTGTGTTTTGCAAGAGTTGACAGTCAAAAAAAGCAGTTTTCAAGATTGCGCATTCCTCGCAAAACAGAACGGACGATGAAAATATTTTCTTAGACAAATCTTCCCAAATTTGGTAACTTGCTTCTATTTCTCAAGTTACCCGCGAAACGACTTGACAGGTTCGCTGTGATGAAAGATAGGTTGCTTTGTAAAGGCCAGATCTTCCTATTCTTATTTATTCTTGGATGTATTTTGCAGACAAGGAACCAACTGAGGGTTGTGGAGGCTCGATTGGAGGAACTGACTCAACACGGAGTCATTAGCAGTCAGGAGTCGAGTGCTGACGCGTCCTCCGATGTGGATGAGGTGAGGCCTAGAATTTCAATTTCAAATTATTAACAGGTTGTAATAATAAGTGCAAATATTTAATACATTATTCAGAAAAGGCTTAAAGCCTGTTTGTGAACCAGGATTATCACAAGTAAATTGGTTCAAGAAGAGAATAGTATTGTCTTGCCTTTTTGCATTAAGGGGTAAGAATAATATAAAAAAAGAACAAACACCATGTTAAAGAATCTTCACAGAATTTTGTTACAATACAGTGGAGCGTCGATTATTTGGACTAATCAATGCTCATCACCTAGTCTAGATAATGAAACTTCCGGATAATCGACCCAATTCTACTCGGAGTAAAATTGGAAGTAAGAACAAATACAGCGATCAGAAAAAAATTGAGCGATTTGCTGGAAAATTGAATCCTGGAAAAAGGAAACAATGCATGCAATAACGTAATGTAACACATCTTATAAATTCAAACAACTCAATTTCAGAATCTTAACTATAAAAATATTGAATACGAATTAGTTCTAAAATAAGTCATAATTTATCTTAAACTAATATACATATAAAATCATAAAATTAATGTTTTAACCTTATATAGTTAAAAAACGTCAATGTATCTTTTGTGGGAAAAAAAACAAAAAAACAAAAAAAAAAAAAACTTTGCAAATCCTCTTGCTTAAAAACCAAACGTAATTTTTATAAGAAAACAAAATAATAGCACAGATAATTGATGGTCTGGGTAATTGATATCCAGATTATCAGTATATGTAAATGTTTCAAGCATAACTTATTAAATAGTTAAAGGTTTTTTTATTGTTTCAAAATTTTCAATTTTTTCATTTCATGACTAAGTGAAGGTTAACATATTAGAATTTTTAAAAACCTTTTGAAAATTTACAGAAAATGGAATTTTAATTTGAAAGTTTCAATTTTAGTTTCTTCGTTTGAGGAACAATAGTTATTTATTACAGAAACTGTAGAAGGTAAAATAGTGTATTGGAGTTACTAAGGACCCATGGGATTTGGAGTTCAGATTCAAATGAAAATGATTGCAAATGAAAAATTCAATAAATTAGTAATTTAGGAGATCCTAGCTTTTAAAACCTTTCAAGATTTGGATTTAGATTTGGGACTGAAGAACTTTAGGATTTGTTCCATCTCAGACTAACCATCGATATTTCTAATGAGCCTGTTTTCTCCTGGCCAGCCTGCAGCAACCTCTCCCAGCACAAGTCTACAATCACCGCAGTCCCCGCAATCACAAGATGATCTTGCGCGCATTAGTCGAGTGACATTGGGGGCACCTTTGGATGTGAACACAGGATCATTAGGACGAAAGGCTTTGGCTTCTTTAAAAGAAATTGAGCGCAACAGGCAGCTACATCTTGCACAGCAAGGTATGTTTGGAACCAATTATATTGATCTAATTTATGTTGTGTTATTGAAATTAAAGCAAAAAATCATTATTTCAATTTGCAAAAGTAATAGAGAATGGCTGAAGTATTAAATATTTATGAAAAGTAAAAGGTAACTCTCGCAGAGTGATAGTTGGTCATTTGTTTGAAATATTTTTGTTTTAAGTCATGTACTCAATTTAATTGATTTTTGTTTGTATAAAATGTTTGTGAATTGTTATTGTACTTGATACTTCAAACTGGTCGAGATGCAGTTATGGTTATTTGCTATTTAAGTGAAGAAGGAACTAAAATCACATTAGAGTCGTCATTTGTTGCTATACAGCTTTGTGTGGAGTAAGGTGATAACTTGTTCCTATATATTACAGATCTGTCAGTAATGATTAATAGCTAAAGATGACAAAAGAATGTGCTTGTGATTTTTGTAAATAATATTTAGCCATGTTAGCCAAAATTGTGAAGAATTTCAATGTTTTAGCTTCATAATTTAACGAAATTAATAATTCTGTTGATTACAGAATCAGTTATTGATGAACTGATTACAATATTCAGTTTGAGACAGTCAGAATCCTCAAATACGTAGTTATGTAGATATTAATCAAATTTCCTCTTTACCTATGTCCCTCAAATGTCACAGTTGGAGAATATTGAGCATGGCTGTGTTATAGGCAGTTTGTTCTTTTGCAATCGCTCTTTGAAGAGTTAACTCGGTATAAGAATTAAATTAAATATGTTCTTATTTTTAGTGGGCCCAGATTAAACACCTCCATTTCTATTTCACTGCTTTCAAAATTTAATATACTAAATTTACTGTATTATAATTTAACTGCATTATAAATATTTTTATTTTATTTTATTTTATTTTACATACAATACAATAAAGGCAAACATCCAATTATAATTAAGACATCAGTAAATTAGAAACTTCAATTGAAATCATTCAAAATTAGATTTTTCGCATTACATTTAAATTTATAAATCAAGCAATACATTTCAATCGCATCATTATTAGCTCCTCAATACATTATAATAAAAAGTTTGTTCTCACAAATGGACCTCTAAATAGTGCAGTTCCGCTGGAATGCAGTCCAGGCTTGAATTTCACCCTAGGAAGTTCAGTATACAATGTTGGAGAATCTATAAACTTATTTACCAACTTACAAAAAAGAAGAAGATCATAATATTTTTTGTAAGAGTGCTGTGAGCTAATATTCAGATTATCAATAGTTCAATATAATTTAATTTTAAAATAAGAATATGTAAATAAACTGAAATAAAAATAGAAGAAAAAATAAATGCAAACATTTTTAGAATGAGAACGAGTTTGTTCTAAAATTACTACGCATCCATTTCCCTAATATTTTTCCCTTTTAATTATTCTTTCATTGTAATTCCATTTATTTATTTTAAATTTCTCTGTTCTCTTTGTTCTCCAGATAGACCCCAATCCGTTACCCTTCCAAATGATTAACTGCAAACAGTTCTGCAATGTTTCTTTTGTTTTGTGTTATTAAATGTTGATTTGTTTTTGTTTTCGCAGGTAGCCAAGTGATAGAGGAAGAGCGCAAGCGTGTTCAGGAACTGAAGCGCCGCGTTCAAGACGAAGTTCGCGCCCAATGGGAGGAACGCCGGCAGCAACAGCAGCAGCAGAGGGGAGCTCACTGCGCCTCGCTCAACAGTGTAGGCAGCGACGAGGCTTCCTTGACATCAAGCGACGTCCCCACTGAGAGGTAGCCCTGATAAACAATTCAACTATTTCTAAGATGGTTTGAGACAAACACATACAGGGTTACCATTTTGATGTTCATTGATGGTAGAAATTTTCCTAAACAAAATCAAAGCACATTATGACCTAAAATACATATTATAGATAATGTTCATGCACTAGAAATTACCCACAACAATGTTCAGTATATAAATTTATCCATCTCATTCATGTCAGTTTTCTTCTGTACAGTCTGCATTTTAAAATATTTTAATACTTCTCACAAAATTGCCCTTCATGAAAAATGACAATTTGCTATCAATGAGATATGAGGATTCAATGATAACTATCAATCAAAATAATACAATTTAAAAAAGTTTTGAAAGAAAAAAAGTATAAAAAATTGTTTATTAGCAGACATTAAAAATGAAATCTGATATGTAAAATGCAGTACCCTTTTTGCATCTACGCTCTGAATTATTTATAAACCTATTGGTTTAATTCAAATTGATAATGAACTAAATTTTTAATTAATTATTTTCAAGCACTTGTGATCCTACAATCGAAGATTACTTCATTACTAAACTTCATTACTACTTTTCTTTGATCAGATTTTGTGCCAGTGGCAAGGCGTGGCATTTTTGAATGATTTGCCCAGTGTTTGACTATCTTTCGGAAACAAGGGAAAGGTTTCTCAATATTTTAGAATGTTTCTTTTTTAAATGCTCAAAACCACACTCATTTTTTGGTCTGTGAGTGTTTTTTCTCTTTTTTTATCTTTTCAGTGATCTCCTAATCTCCTTTGAGGCAATATTGAAATTGAAATTGCTGTAGAAACCTTTGGTTGACTACAAAACTAAATTCATTGAATCCAGGACATGTGAAATACATGAAATTATTTTAAAATTTGTTTGGCACTTTATTATTAATCATTATAATTATTCATTGTTCTGCCAGAAAGCACTCCCTTCCTTACTCAAAAAAAAATTTAAAACTTGCCTGCAGTTGACTGAGTTGTCACTGCGATTTCAGCAGCCACAGACTGTCACTGCCCAGAAGTTAAGACACTGACCAACTGCTGTGATAAAAGCAGCCATAACCGGAAGTTGTGTCTGTAGCACTCATGTGCTGGAGTTGCAGCTACACTTTCATGATCTTGTGCTCTACTATCATTGCTGCATATACTATTCAATGCATTGGAGACACTTGCAACAATTCTGCCAGACTTGAATAAACTAGGTACAATCAATCTTTCAAATACAGGCAATGCAAAAAATAATCAAAGAATCCTAGACAATGCTACTCACATGTACAAGCAGCTTCATATGCATATAAAGTTAGATTCTTAATTGTGTAAATTCATTAAAAGATAAATGTAATTAATTTATCTTCTAAAAGAATGTGTGACGTTTGAAGCTGTCATGTTACTGTTGTATTGACATTCATGAATGTATAAGACAAACATGTGTAAATACTCCTCATCATCCTACATTACTAAATATATAGATTCAAGCTGATCTGTTGTAGTAGCAAATTTTTGAATGACTGTTGTAGAAATCCTCTTTCTCTCCTAAGGATTCCAGAGTTCTCTCTCAATTGATACAAGAGACACTTGCACATTCCTCGTCTCTTTGTGTTTATCTTTTATCATTATGTATTCTTTTCAAAGCAGAAAAACTCCTTTTTATGTATACTGTTTAAGCTAGTTTCATCTGTATTAATTTAGCTGAACAGAAAATTTCCTTAATTACGTAGTCAACATTTTCTTCTTCCAAATATTTAACTAATTTTCATAAGAATTTCACTCACAATGTTGTTATTCTATTAAAAACAATCAGTTCATTTTTATTAAATCCCAGTGATTCAAAAACATTTCTATGCAAGTTAACAAACAAGTGCTCAGAACAAATATTTGTTTCATGGTCAATAGCAATACTTTTCTATCAAAAAAAGCTTCTCCTCAAATGTAAGTGAACAAGGGAGTTTTTCTTTCAGCTAAACTACGATATCTTCAAGTTTAGTGCCCAACAATTGAAATTACCCTAAAAACACACTAAAAACAAGTAAAAACACACAAGAATCAGGACTCACGGAAAAACAATGCACTGTTTCACCTACAACTTCATGCAATGTTCTAAAGCCAGGATCTTCTCACAGGCTACGAAAACAGCCATGACTGGAGTGCTTCCCACCAGGCAAGGCATAGCATACGTTTCCTACAGTTTGAAGTGGCTGGATGGCTCATCAGGAGCAGCACCTAGTTCTCAATTCTATACTCTAACACTGGCAAATCTTTTGTGTTCTCATTGGGTCATGACTAATTTTATAATACAGGCTATGTTTTTACTCTGCCTTTTTACTAAAACTCCTAAAATATCTGCACATTTTTACTAACACTCCTTTCTTCTGTTAAGTATTGAAAATTCATAGTTTTTTCAACTTTTTTGGTCATCTCCACATATTTTGATAACCAGGCACTTTGCCTGTGTTTTCTGCATAACTTCAGTTGCATGCTTTCAAAAGTACAAATTAACTCCTACAATTTTTTTGAAATCGGGCTTGCACATTACTGAGTATTTTGTACATTGTGTTATTGATTGGTAATCCTAGAAAAATTCAAGAGTAAAGTCTGAAAAGTTTTTTAAGGTTTCCCTCTTTCTGAAGAGGTCAATGATCAAATGTTCTGTAAATTTAGGAACTCTTGTGAGAGACAAAATGCCCTGTAAGGGTTTGCACTGATTCTGTAAATGTATAATTTGCTGGTGTCCCATCCTTTTAGGCCTTTCATTTCAAAGGTAATATTGTTGCATGTTGCAGCCATAAAGCAAAGATAGGATAGTCTTTCTTCTATATTTCTAAGAATCTAATTAAAACTGGGATCGGGGAAAAGGTGAAGGGATATTGACGGGGTAATGGAGGAGTGAGGTAAGCTGCACAAGAATACATTTTCTAAAACAAAACACAGTTTTTCTTACATTTCATTTAGTACTTAAAAACTTTTTGCTGATATAAGTGACATTCTTATTACTTTTGCATTAACACACTATTTTAAGATTTGGAGGGGGGGAGAGGAGAAAGAAAACACCAATCAGAAATGAAGAGAGTAATAGTGTAATAATATTACAATAAATTCATTTTCTCATCCATTTTCTTCTCTCTCGAACTTAAATCTAGAATTGAGTGTAGCAAGTGATGTCCAACCACTTTGTACACAGTGTTTTTTTATTTTCTTTTATTTTTTTTATTTTAATAAGCTTCAATATCATCACTGCATCTGGAAATTATTCTTGAAAATTTATATCAATGACAGCTATTTTATATAAATAGTGCAAGCGTAGAGGAAGCACAGATACTGTCTTTTCTCTATGGTGATACACATTCAATTGTATTTGCTGATCCTTTTTTACGACATCATATGTAGGAACCGGCACGTACATGCAAGTTTTCATTGCAGAGCAGGAGTCAGCATATGTTATAGGACCAGAGGATCACAGCACCAAAATCTGAACGAGTTGAGGAATGGGTTGTTGGCCCCAAATTGATATTGTTTCAGAATAGATTGAGCTTTCAGAATGATTTTATTGAATAAATTTAAATGTGGATGAGGAGTCAATTAAAGCAGAAAGGCAAAATAATATGAAAGAAAAAAGTGTTTTTAATAACAATATATTTCATTGCAATAAAAGAATTTGCAAATTGCAATTTCATGCAAATTTTCAAAATTTGTGCTGAATTGTCTGCAATGGTGTAAAAGTATCTAAGCATATTACTTTTTTGTATCACAAGTAACTTTTTAAACTTAATTTAGAATCTGCATTTCGCAGGTTTATTGAATTTTTGGGGTTGTCTATGAATCACGTAATGCTGTAGAGCGGGGGGGGGGTTGAGGTAGTGTTGTGCTGCGTTGTATAGGGGCAGGGGGGTCATAGTTAAGTGTTACGTAATCCTGATGTTTATTTTTTAAATTTTGCAACATTTGGTGAAATAAGTCCTTTTTAGTCTTATACTAAAACATTACCCTATCAACAAATTAAAAATATAATAAATTAAAGAAGTTATATTCTATAAACTGTGACAATGAATGAACATAATTCTCATCAAGGAAATATTGATTGAATCAGGGGCAAGGAGCTGGTTGCAAGCATTACATAATTATTAGAGGGGAGTAGTACGTGTTACGCATGCATTACAAGGGGGAGAGGGCATATTCAAAATACTCCAGATTTGTGGACGGCTCCTGTGTAGATTTTGCCTTTTTGGCTTTGCACAGCAATATATATTGGAAAGTACTCTTTCCAATTGTCTCATTTTGTGGGCAGAGGGAGAGAGAAAAAAAGAAAAGAAAATATTATATTTGACAGTGAAAGAAAAATGAGATCAGTCTTCGTTTCATTTGTACGCTCACAGGCATTGAGCTCGCAATAAATTGATACATTTTGATAGTAAGTACACTTGCCTATTTATGCTGCAAGTTAAAGTTAAATTTGAATTTCTTTTTTTATCATTTAATTTATTAAAGACTACACACAATTGACATATACTTAAAAAATAGTACATTTCTAATGACTAATAATTGTGGCTATTAATTGATTACAACTTCCCTAGAGGGAAATGGGGAGTATGGGTCTGGTTTGCCAGGAAGAGCCAACACAAGTATGAGAGATACACCACATGGTGCAGCTTTATCTCTGCTTGTGATAAAGACTCTATCAGGCAGTGGCCTTCTGACCTCAGGCTCTGTCTCATTGTTTGCAATGCACACAGAAAATTTCGGTAATTCTAAGTTGTGTCCAGTTCTTGCTGCTTCCACATTATGTGCTTAAGTGAAACTGAGTGTGTGGGCAGTGCAGAATGCCTATCTTCAAAGTTTGCTGCTGCTACGTTGCTATGTAAATATTTGATTTCTTTCTTTTCTCCTGCCCCCAGCCTTTACCCCTTGTTCTCTGAACGTAGCTTTGTGATGCACTCTTTTGAACAACAGTTCTGTGTTCAGGCTTTAGAAGTGTTGTATTGTGGCAATTGGTTGGAAATAGCCGAGATATGGAAGGGTAACCTGGTTGTGAGGAGTGCAGAAAAATATTTGGGGGTTTTCTCTGAAAGATTCTCTATGCTCTGTGTTGTTGTTTTCAGTGCCTCTAGTGATGATGCATTGGAGAAACGTATTCCAAGTGGGCCTGCGAGCGGAGTGAACGGAACAAGCACAGCCAGCACTGTGAACGGCAGCAGCAAGAACAATGGAAAAGGGGAAGGAGAACAAACAAATCCTCAGCTTCAGGCTTCGGTGAGTGTTGCTGTCAATTTTCTACTACAAATTACTTAACATATTTTCATTTAAATATTTATCATGAATACAGTCACTTTCTTTTTTAAAGATACTATTTAGTTGCTAAATTGTTAAAAACAATTTCAAAGGGATCACAAGGATCAGTGTGTTTTATGTTATAAAAAACCTTCACTATCCTAATGGTGTGGAATTAGTGTTGTGTGAAATTAGTGTTGTAGTAAAAAGTAATTTTTAATAACATTCCAAACAGTATGCTCTGTAATTTTAATACCTTTTGATTTTGTATACCAGAATACCAATTTTATATAAGAGTTATCTGCTATTTATAAAACAAATAGTTTGACATGTAGATTACAACAAAGGAAAAATTCAGTTAACTCTAATTTGAATAAATAAGTTAAATGAAAATCATTGAAAAAACAGATAGATTCAAAATTTTCTCTTAGGTTATTTCATGGTATTACAGGTATGTAATTTTATTTGAATTTTATTAGGTAACAGAGAGTAACAGGTGCAGTGAAATGTAGGAGGAATATTTTTGGATTTTGGGTTTTATATTTTTCTTTGAGCTATTTCTGCTGCCTGAAAACGCATCCTTTGATCTTACTTCTGGTACAAGCAAGGCGGAACTCCTGGCGGATCTCCCTCTGGTTCTAATTAACATTCTCAAGGTCTCTAGATTTCTTTGAAACTGGGGACTGAGCCACTGCTTGTACTCATTTCTTGTGTTGTTTTTTTTTTTTTTATTCCTAAGTGAGCTTTCTTGATTTGTTTATTCCATGCTAGGTTTTATGGAAACTTCTAACTTGCTATACACCAATCTAGAAAGTATTAATTTAAGACACTTTGTTTTTTATTTATTAAATAAGAATTAGGGCTGTAACGTGAATAAAACCCACATGAAAACTCTTCCAAGATATTGGGAAGTGAACATTTTGATTCAAGGAATTTAAGTGGGTTACATAAAAATTACAAGAACTGAGAGCCAACTATGAGTCACAAATAATAGAACTTGTCTCATACTGTTAAAACTGAGTTGAAACTAGCAATATTGTAGGTTATTTTTGTTTTTGTATACTTCATTACTGTTCCAACATTTTCATTCTACAGACTGTTCTAAATTTTGTGACAAAAGCTTATTAATTGTCTTGCATACAAGCTAGTGAGAGTAAGTAAACTGATTTAAAAAGATTGGCAAAGGAGAGGATTCCCACTGTGCCAAAATTAAAAGTGTTTTGATGGAGATATCATCTATATATGAAACTCTGAATGAACGTGTGCTTCGTTATTTTTATTCAGTCTCATTTATATTCTGTTCATAGACATGCAGTCCACATATAGCACATTCCTCCCCCGTGCTTCATGGAGTCCGCTCCAATTTTAACTCTGCTCCGTGATATAACTGAGTGTCGTTCTTGGCATGCACTTGCATTAATAATTTCAGATCGGACAGAATTAGTCTAAAGTATTGCGATCAAGGTCAGCTAATGTGAACACTTGGGTTTATACTGATGACGGAAGTGTGATTTTTCAAAAAGCTGAAATTTTTGCAGTTGGACCAAGATCTTTGATTGAACACTACATGAAATTTTTGCAATGTAAGGAGAAAATTATGGTATTTATGAATTTTAAATTTTCTCTTGGTATTATTTAATAGCAATAATATGTAAACTTTATGTGTGTTTTGTTGGTGGAATTTTGGGGTGCTATTTCCTGTTTTCAAATATATTAATATATGTTTACAACTTTTTATATACAACCCTAAAGGTGAAATAGTTTACAAAATATTTGGAAAGAAAATAATAAGATTGAATAAGTGAAGTTGGTTTATTAATATGTAAATAATTTGAACATTTTCACATCAAACTTCTTCCTTTGAAATGTGTAATAAAGCCCTTGAAGAAGCCAGACAAATCTGTAAGATGAAGAGAAAATACTGAAAGCAAAAGAGATTTTTAAATTGGCCACAAATTGCTGTTCATGAAATCAATTAAGGACTGCAGTTCAAGGGGGGGCCGATCCAGCCTTGGGGGGGGGGTATCAAAGATTTTTGTTAAATAAATCTATTTGTTACTATATTGTATATTATTTATGTACTGTACACATGATACTATACAATATTATTCTATGGTCACCATGCCCCCCCCCCCCCTTCTGGATCCGCCAGTGCAATCGAAATACTTCTTCCCAGGGTTCCCTTTCACATTTTGGTGCCCTCTGCTTCGAGTGAGGAATGCGTTTAGTGTTCTGGAGCTTAGTCCCGGCCGCCGAATTCGTCGTCCTCGTTGGAGAGGTCAGCCAATCCGTTCCATGTGGAATACCCGCAAGATTATACTTCGATTGTTTGAAGTGTCCGATGTCATAAGGCCATTGTTACACCTCCTGCATTATAAAATGAATTTTTTGTAACAATGGTAAGGACAATTCTCAGGCCACAGACCGTGTTGAGAATGACGTTGGCGAATTAATTTAAAAGAGATTCATTTTTTAAGGTAAGAAGTGTAACAATGGCCATTAGAAAAATCGAAATAGAATAGAACGGATTGCGCAAGCGCACCACCTAAATACGGCCGTATTGCTGAAAGTAGTGTCTTCGTTCGTAGTCAGATGGCGTTGTGATCGTGAAGGCGGGCTAGGCGTACTTCAAGAGGACAGGCAGCGACTTGCAAAAGTAAAACAATATAAAGAAATAATATTCCTTTTCATAAAAAAAATATTAGCACGATTTCATGGGTCGCGATGAAGAGGTGCATTATCGCTTACAGTCTATGAAGTGCATACTTGGGTTAGTCTTGGGTATCAAGTAAACTAACTTTTTCCAGGTTAGTATCACTGTCTATTGAAGTCAAAATAATATTTAAGTAAACCTTGCATCAACTCTGCATTCGCAGACAATAACTTTCATATGGGAATTAGGTAAAAGTATTTAATTTAATGATCGTCAACATTTTCCATTGATCACCGAAAGGTATTGGCTGACATTAAGTCTATTGGAAAGAAAATATTCAAATGTGAATCAGTCACACATAAAACGATAATATTCGTCAAATCGACTTTAACAATGTTAATGTTCGAGAGGACTGTGTTCCCTAAAAATGTTGAAAGGGACCGCGTAGCCTTACGTAAAAATACATTTCATTTCCGTAAATATATTGAATTCTTGTTGGTTTTTTCACTTTTTAATCTTGCAATTTCGAAAATTGTATTACATCGTTTAGGGAACGGAGTTTCCTAGCAATCTGGCAACCCTCTAAATGGTTCAACATAAAATCACTTGTGATTATTAATGTATCCTTAAAGGCACAATTTAATTCTCCTGTTGTTTTTTATTTATGTACTATTAAAATTTGTAATTTATAAATAAAAAAGTTTAGTGAAAAAGAAGTCCCAGAAATTCAGTTGGCACCCCTCTTATTTTGGACTGCACACATCTATTAATATTTATTAATATATAATTATTCAATAATTATATTGAATGTATATTTAAATAATGAAATTATTATATTGTATTTAATAAAAATCTAATGTATTGTGATAAAGCATAAATATAATTTTCAAACTTTTGTTGAGGGAGGGGTTGTTTTGAAGAACTGAAACGGGATATAGTTTACTTACCGGGAATGGGCGCCATTTTTGCTCCACCCCTGGCACAAGCGAACCATTCGGATTTTGAAAGTAAAGTGTGGATTGATTTAGCCAACATAACAGAACTAGTGTTTTTTGTAAGCACGAACAACGCTTACCCGCGAGCAGAATGGTGCCGTATTTATAACCTCAAACTTGCAAGGGCCACAGACGCCGGCTAAGGGAGTGGTCGAACTTCACCACGAGGTTTTGGCCTTCGATGACGCGATGAACGTAAAGGTCGTCGAGTCTGCCCATCGCATCGCTCGCTCCGTCGGTCGCTTGCGGTGGAGGCGGTGAGGAGGCGAAGCTGCGCTTCCGCTTGCCCGTAACCCGTGAGTTGGGCCGACGGCGCGTCGCCCTTGGGGCAGGAAGGGGATTGCCACGTCAGCAGCCTCAAGTGGTGGAGGCTGCGAGGAGAGGGGAACGGGGCCCTAGCCGCTCGAGCCACAGTTCGGGTGGTGCCCTGTTGAGCTCTTGGCTGCGTCGTGGCAGAGCCCCGGGGCGAGTGAGTGGCGCGCCGGCCTGGAAGGCAAG